AATTATTGAGATGGTGCAGCAGTTTAAGAGAGGTGCTGAAATGATGGTGCATTCTCAGGCTCTCTTGGCTGATCGAGTTGCTCGGCTTGAGGCAGCCAACACTGCTGCCAGCGAGCGTAAATCCCGCAAAAAGCGACGGATCCAGAAGGGAGGAACCCTATCCCAGGCAGAGGCAGAGGATTTAATTGTTTCAAGGGATGTGGTGGAGGTAGTGCAGCAGGAAAGGCTTGAAGTGAGGCGTGAGGCAGGTACAACTCGGTGGTGGATTCAAGGCTGCAAACAGTGTGGACAACCAGGACACAATAGGCGCACCTGCACAAGTGGTGCAGCTTAATCTTGCGATTATTTCTATCTACTTTTTATCAAATTCCAATGGGTAGTTGTTGAGATATCTGGTGTTGAAGGTTGGGTGGGTGCACCAACTGGACAACTCGGTGATGCAGACAACTCGGTGATCGATTACGTTAATACTAAAGTCATAGTAGATGACTGGATCTATAACTTTTATATATGAGTATTTTTAAAATATAGCTATTCTAGTTTTCCTACTTCAAAACTACAAAATTAAGGTTGATCGATTTGTCTAAGATGTTAATACAAGATAGAGTACTGTAAGTAGACTAACTTTATATTAGAAGAAAGTTTTGATCTACCTTTTTTCTGGAATATTCAACATTCTCTACTTTCTACTATCTAAAAAGTCAAAAATAGAGTATAACTCTAGATCAAAACTACTTATTTAACAAAGTTTAATATAGAAGTTCACTCTAACCTCCAAATATGATCGATATATCCAGAGTCCGACATTGGCAGGTTTCTGCTGCAACATCGTACATGCAAGGCAAGGAGACACTCAAGATAAGAAAAGGATGGAGAGTTGTATTGAGACCGTGTAGACTCGTCTACAAACGCTCAAAGTGCGGTTGCGATCGAATACCCTTATGCTACATACCTTGCATCCGATACTTGAGTCATGAGCATGGCTCTTCATCGAATGCTCCATTTACCCGACTTCAAGAATCCTGGAACGAATTTACAAAAGGATGGATACATTCCGCTTACCACTGACTCCTGAGGCGCCTGCAGATTCCGCCTTATCTCCAAAGGCACTTGTATGCGCTCAAGCTGCGCTCACCGAGAATTCAAGAGATACTCAAGTTGTTGAGGGCGGGGAAGCAAGCTTTCACTACCCGGTAACGCGCAATAGATTTTGTTACACTGTAGCCATGGCCTGTTGTTCAGCGACGTGGGCAGCAATCGCCAATCGCGCCGAACGGGTTCGGTCCAGCAAGAGGCAATCGGTCATTCAGCGGCCGGCCGGCAGAGAAGTTGGAAGTCAACGTAGGAACAGTGGCCAGAGCCCTCGCCGGACTGCCAAGTCCTGGCGGACGCATAAGATCTTGACTGTCACGCCTAGACGTCTGTCAGCCAACAACCAACATGATATTAGAACTGGAAGGTACATACCAGTTGGGGTAGTGCATAAACAGTGTCTCAGTCGAGTGGTTCAACGCTTTCTCGCTAGCAACCAGCGTCTCATGGACAGCCTGCTTGATGCGAGCCGCTTGAAGAGGTGGCAGTACCAGACCGCCGTGGTACTTGAAGTGGCGGATTAGCAAGACGGCAACGAAGAAGTGGTCGTTGTAAAGATCGCCGTGCACCTCTGGGTGAGCGTCGTCTTGGTGTGTCAGGCCCCAGATCAGTTGATCGACCATGCCTGGGTCGCGCGCGTAGAAGCCCTGCGAGGCATTAGAGGTGATGAGGTGATGATAGGTGTCGGGGACGTACGAGCTTGTAGGCGCGAGAAGCAGCGACCTGGCCGTTGCCGGACCAGTGGGCTTCTAATAGCACTTTGAGGAGGTTGGCGAGTTCGCGGTCTAGGAAGACAGCAGCAGCCAGGGAGTCTGTGGTGGGTTGCTTCTGGAACATGGCGAAGAAGGCGGCGCGGAAGTCGACATCGTCTCTCAGTAGATCCTGATCATCATTAGTCATCTTCATCTTTAACTGGGAGAGCTTAGCGCTTAGAGGCAGTTGTTTGCTTACAATATACATGACGAATCGCGTAGCCCTCTCCATCACAGGACCGTATGCGAAGTTCGGTCCGCCCATGGGGAAGTACGTGCGGAAGAAGGTCACGACTTGCTCCTCGATGAAGTGCTCACATAGAGTACGTGGCATGCTATTATGGCGGCGCGCGCGGAAGACCATGTTTGGAGCCCACGGTTGGCTGGTTTCTGGTGGAACGGTGTTCATGTCGAGATTGATGGGAATTGATGCTAAAAGTTGAGACAGGGTTACCACGCGTTGGCAGAGAAAGAAAGGAATGTAAGGCGAGCGGAAGATGCGTGATACACAAGCAAGGAAAGAACAAGAGCGGAAGTGAAACTGTCTTCAAAGAGACAGCCTGCCAGACATAGCGTGGACGGGCGAAAGTGAAAGAAGGGCATCGACGGTGCAAACGCTAGTCACTGCCTCCATGGTGGACCTCTCGATAGTATCTGTTTCGGATGCACGACAAGTGAAGTGATCGCTTCCTGTTTCCTAGCGAGGTTGCAGAGCGAGCCCTAAACACATTACCCGTTGTGACGAAGGCAAGCTTGAAGTCCGCGTGAGGATTCCAACTATGTAGCAATTCAAATGTAGAGTGACAACAGAAGTGCGAGTGCACAATGCTGTGGAAGCTTCTGATAAGAGCAATCTATTCGTTCGTCTATCGCGAGCAAATGCTGAGATGGAAGGTGCGACTACGGCTCCAGGAGGGCGCGTCAAAGCAAGAGTCTATTTCAGCTCCGTTGCCGTCCCTTTAATAGCCTCCTTCTCTTTCTCAGTCAGTGTGATACCAAACCACTCCTTCAGCACCCTTATGCGGTCCGCCTCCGTCTTACACTCCTCCACGACCTTCGTCTTACCACCAAGGTTCTCTTTAACGACCGCGTTGACCAGCATGCGCTTGCCGTAGATCTCTTGGTCGCCAGATCCATCCTCCTTCTCTCTTCTCAGGAACCTGACAAGCAGCTGTGTAATAGTATGATGGCTGTCAGGGCTGGTCCCAGTGAAGTGGTTGATGACATGGAAGTCAGCCTCCATCGCCTCTGTTTCCGAGAAAGCGTAGAACGAGTTCCACGCCTTGTCCTTTCCATTGCGGTACTCATAGATCCAGAGCTTGCTCGCCTCGGTGCGGTGCAGTTGTGTTGGGATCCAATCACGGATAAGGCGAACCTCCTGGCTGCCCAGGTTGACCTGCGGCTGATTATGGACAAGCGGTATGGGCTTTGTTGGGCCATCACCGCCGAATCCAACATCCATAGTCCATACTTGGCCATCAGAAAGTGTGATGATGTTCACGAGATGGATCCAGCCGGGGAACTCGCCTTGAGGGACGGAGTCAACTCGCGGCCTGGTTCGAGCTGGGCCGAGGTAGACGGGAAACTGCAAGAAGCGAAGGATATGGTTCAGGAGGACGTGGTTGCCCATGCAGTAGCTGCCACGACCCCGAGCTTGTGTGACGATCTTGTCGAAGCTGCCAAGAGCGGTGATGTCGACCCTGTGGGTGGGGTCGTAGTGCAGCCAAAGATTGTCGTACGGCACTGCCGCAATCATACAAACATGGAGTTGGGTGAGAAAATGGATGTCCTTTGCAGCGTCTTCCAATGGACGGTGCTGTCGCAGGCTAGCTGGGAAGCCAATGTAGTGGTAGAAGGCATCGATGTGAGCCTGGGTGAAGGCGGAAGGGATGACCATGGTTGTGGTGAGCTGAGTGCTGTTCAATGCCGTAGGTGAGTGTTTGGAGGTTAGTGTGACGAGCATCTTTTCAGTTGACGAGATGACGAATCGACGAGTGAGTCAACCGCATCAACAGTTTCAGGCACGTTATCGCCCGCGGACGAACGTGTGGTGTTGCACGTCGAGCAGGCATAGTCTCCACGTGGTTGTGAAGCAACCAGATTGTACATCTACCATCATGGAGAAAGTCAAGATTCGAGATAGGAATCGTAGTCAGGAGCTCTTCAGACGGTCGTGGTGTTGATGTTCTGAGAGTGGGACAAAAAGGCGCTAGCGTCCGCTTCGGGCAACGCGCGGTTCGCTTCCAAGTGCACATTGAATTTGACTATCGTCAAGCAAGAACTTCGACAACCAGCGACGACGCACCCGAACTCTCGCCCTCCAACTAACCACCACACACAGTCACAATGGCATCCAAGCGCGGGTATGTTGCGTAGGATCTGTAGTTTATGCGAAACGAATGCTGACAGGCGCAGTCGTGGTTCCTCCGGTAACAAGCTGAGAATGACCCTCGGTCTTCCTGTGTACGTCCAACTCGCCCGCGATCGCTCTCGAACCTCCTCCGCGAAGAACGAACACCGATCGTATAGTGTATGTGTGTGGACTTAGGCTAATGGGAACACAGCGGCGCCGTCATGAACTGCTGCGACAACTCCGGCGCCCGCAACCTGTACATCATCTCCGTCAAGGGTATTGGTGCGCGCCTCAACCGCCTGCCCGCTGGTGGTGCCGGCGACATGGTCATGGCCACCGTCAAGAAGGGAAAGCCTGAGCTCAGGAAGAAGGTCATGCCCGCTGTCATTGTTCGCCAGAGCAAGCCCTGGAGGCGAGGTGACGGTGTCTTCCTCTACTTCGAGGACAACGCCGGTGTCATCGTCAACCCCAAGGGCGAGATGAAGGGCTCTGCCATCACTGGCCCCGTCGCCAAGGAGGCCGCTGAGCTTTGGCCGGTACGTTGTTTTGATTGCAGGCGGAGAAGATTCTGGCTAACGGGTCCTAGCGTATCGCGTCCAACTCCGGTGTCGTCATGTAAAGTGTCTTTTTTCTGCTTCTCCAACATTTACGGGTCTACGGGAACGGCGAAAATGCATTTACGGGTGGAAGGATTGGAAGTAGACATTGCAACCAGCCAGCAATGGGCCTTCACATTACCAGTCAAATGAAGAATACGATGAACACACCAATACCGCGTTTCCCGCGCTCCTAGTGAACCGAACGAACGTGACAGTCCGAACGCGATACCAGAGACATGACAACAAGAGAACGTGCACATGGGAATTATTGCTTGGGTCTGCTTACTTGACTTCTTTAGGTGCGACTTCCTCGGCGACTAGCACGAGGTACGATCGCACGCCAGGAGCGCTACATCCTCCTCGACGACGACATCCTGCGCCCACCTCGCAACGACCATCGATTTCGTCTCGCGCTTTCGCCCACCCACGAACTGCAGGTTCTCATTCCCAACTACACCAGTCGTAACCTGCCCATTACTCGGCGCGCCAATCCCCGTCACAACACCATTCCCACCCTGCACAACATTCGAGTAACTCGTCAGCATAGTCTGCACGCCCGACACAAAATCTTGCCCATCAAACTCGCAATGCCCACCCTGCGGCGTGTTATCCACCGTCTGCAGCTGATTGATTTGAGCCGCGCTCAACCCCTGATCAGCCGCAATCTGCTCATACGCGGTAACAGCCTGCGGAATGCTGCCCTGCAGAAGCTTCAGCTCGGACTGCGTGGACTGAAAATGCATCCTCGTGCTCGCCACAGCGGCAGCATTCTGCACCGCGACTTGTGGCGGCATGCCGCCGCAGTTCAGCTCCACCGCGCTCGGGGCGTAGTTCTGCATCTGCGCTGGGATGAAGAATCCGGACATTAGTAGACTGCCTCCACTCACACCCGTAAACACCATTGCTGACATATTAACGGCGACGCGCTGCGGCATTTCGTTTTGGATCCAGTCGTTGACTGCTTGCGCGTGGGCTACGCCGTCGGTACGTTGCAGGCCAGAGCCGCCGCCCCAGAAGAGGTTCGGGTCCGGTGCGAGGAGCGCGACGCCCATGGTGTTGGCTTGCACGTTTTGGTTGGGCATGTCGAAGAAAGACTGTCCGCCGTCGCCGTGGAGGAGCACGTTCGCGCCCATGGTGCCATTGCTGGAGGTTGCTGCTGCGCCGGGTACGCCGGATGCGGGGAGGAATTGGTCTGCTGGGGCTGCGATTTTGAAACGGATTGGTAGGCCGCTGTACGTTGTGAGTCTTCACTCTTCTCCCCTCTTTCGCTTGGGGCGGTGGGTGCATACTTCACCATGACCATATCATCCAAAATCATGCTCCCATCCTGCGCCTGTGTAACACCCATCGGTATCTTCGCAGCCTGCTGCTGCGCCGTCTGGCGCTGCTGACCGCCTCCCCTGTTCCGCTGCGGCGAGGGTACTGCGGCGGCTAGACCCAACAACGAAAGGTAGACGAGTTTGTACATGATGGGTCTGGTGGGAGAAGATATAGACAGTAGTGATTATTGTACTGAGCGAAGGCGGACCGGCCGATGAGAAGAAGTGAACGGATAGACGATATAATGGGCGGTACTGCACAGCAGTGTACAGGCCTCGACAGGGTGGTGGGGACTGTGAGAGCATATACACTGACATCTCGCTCGCTCGCTCGTACACCTCACCCTAGCCATCGTGAGGCGATTGCATAATCAAACATGCACCCGTAGCCAAGTTCTTTCCCTGCGGATCATCAAGGCTTACTCAAACCCGAATGACCTTGACGGCCGCTGTGTTTGTATCGTTACTGGCTCTGTTGCGGCTGTGAGGGTTTTGTGTTTGGGGTTGTGGTGCGTGGGTGGTTTGGGAGCGTTTTGAGTCGGTTTCGGGGTAGGTCTTGGCGAGGTGAGGTATGTTTAGGCGATTTGAAGGATATGGAAGATCTGGATTGCGGTGGATAGCTCATTGGAACGTATGGTTTGCTGAGGTTGGTGTCTTTATGGTGGTTTTTCGAGGGGTTTGCAAAGTCGTAGGTAGCTGGCGAAGAACGGGTGTCTTCTGGGTTAATAGACCTGTCATATTGGTCTATACTACTTCTGCACGCGTGGTTCGACTTATGCAGTGATTTTGAGTGATTTGCTGTTGTTTGGTGTGTTCTTTGATAGTATAGTAATCTCCTGCTGAGTGCGGTGAATTTCCGATGAAATTGACAGCTTCAATGAGTCGCATGAAAACCATGGAATGTTTAGAGTGTCCATGTTTCGGACAATGGACAACTGACAAAGGGAGCTTAGAAAAGAGAAAACATCATTGTTTAAAGAGCATCGGCTCTCCGCTCAAACCTATGCCTCCATTTTGACCTGTGTTGATGAGAGGTCTGGAAAGTGGGGATGGAAGGCCTGTGCGTGCATGGAAGGAGCGCTGCGTCCACAACCTCTCATCTCATCTCTTACATCTCCGCCGCTTTTCCACCAACAACATTACCATGTCCTCGACAGGGCACAAAGCGCGCTCATATCTACGATCTCGGTCAATTGTTCACCGATGGCTGACGGCCCGCGACGAGTTGCCCGCAGACCCACTTACGACGCGTTCCCGAGTAGTTTCCACCGGACGCGCGGCATGAGAGCGCAGGGGCATCTGCGGTCAACGGTCACACTTAGTGCTGTTGACACCAACTGTTAACATGCATGTGGCTTACTCCATCATAGACTAGGACCGTAGACTGAGAACAGAAGGTCACAGGGTAAACACGTGGAATACATTGTTCAAGAAGACATCTACGCGTACAAAAGGAGACCACCAAACGTCCCTGCGGGTCTATCAGATATCGAACTGCGCACTACTCCATGTCATCGTCCCACGTCGCATCCTTCGGTTGCCGACTGCCTACCCTTAGTTGGGTGGGTTTGACGGGGCCACGCTCCTTAGAATGATGGGTACCTGGCCCAGACTGGTGTCATTCCAGTACAATCGGTGGACACGGTCGCTGATTTGGAGAGAGAAAAAGTTTGACTCTAACGCTCCAGTCTCTCCGATCAGCACAGCGGTTGATCCGTAGAAGGAGAAGCCAGTCTCGATGGCACCGTCAGTAGACTCATCACTCGAAAGGAACCCAATACGCTTGTCCGGGGTGGTGTCGTCGGGAACGTAGAAGGTCACGTTGGACCAAGATGGCGCAGTGGCATTGGTCAACAGCGTGGTGTTGGGGTTTCCAACCCACACATCGTCGGAGCCTAGAGAGACTGGTGAAGATAAGTATACTGATTTCAAGTCTGACATATTATGGTGGGCTCACAAGCAACGGTTGCTGCATCGCTGCTGTTCGACTGATTGACCTCGCCAATGTACGCATAGCCTTGAGAGTGTCAGTGGCGTCTTTAGGGGAGAGCACCTCACCTACCGTCTGCGTAAAACAGGGGGATACCGCCGAATCCTTCACTATACGCGTAAAGAGCGAAGTTCGAGGAGACCGCACGCTTCTTTGCTCCAAGCGCAAGGAAGGGCAGCGTGCACAGCACAGCGAGGCGGGAGAAAAACATGATTGTGTCTTTGATAGTAATGAGCGGGGGACACGTGAGCACAACCTGGAGGTGAAAGGCAAGTATAAGGAGCGACTGGGTGTAGCAGGTTCTGAACGTGAGAGAAAAGGTATGCACTTTGATGAAGATCTGGAAAAGCGATCAGCATGCTTTTGTCTTGATTGAGCAGACCCTTCAGCTGGACATGGTTACGTCCTACGCAAGCAGTCCTCGTCACCTTCGAGGCTATACTTTGTCCCTTTTCGTCACCATATCGTCGGCATTAGGGTAGGTGTTTCAGGCCAATATCGGCCTTACCCATCAGGAACCAAACAGCGCAGCCTTTTCGGTAACGAATGCTTGTCGAAACTTGTTGACCTGTCCAGCTAAGCTTGATTACGCATGAAGCGGCGTAACGTCTGAGGTGGAGACCGCAGCCTGTGTACCTGCGCCAGCCACAACAGTCGTTGTCTGCTGGACAAGGACGCCCTTGCTCGCACGGCTACTTCCGCCAAGGCTACTAACATAGTCAGGGGCGGTTAACGCTTCACCCCACCCTAGGAAGTTCACGATGTTTGCCCCACCCATCTTTCCGACACACCGTTGAGTATAGGCTGGGTATTTGAAATGGGTGATCCATCGCCGCGTCATAGCGTTCCGATATGCAGCCGCCGAAGCAAAGCTGTTTTTGGAAAGATCGCAGAGTTCATGTCCCAATTCGGATGATCAGTGCGGGAACAAGTGCGAGTGCGATAGCAGTGCGGCGCTGCTGTGGTCGGAGGCCGCATAAGAGGTTGCAGTTCCTCAGGCATTTCCATTCAGATCAACACATTCGTTCCAGTCATCAATTCACTTCACTACATTCTTTCGTTCACTCGTATACACTCCGTGAGCTCTCTTCGAGCGAGAACATTCGCTATGTCTCTCCGTTACCTCTTCAGCGCAGCTGCTCTGCTCAGCACGGCGCTGGCACACCCTTCGACCTCTCTCAAGAAGCGCCACTCTCATCCTTCCCGCCTGTTGTCGAGTAGAGATATCTGCTCAGGCAACACCGCTTCCACTCGTTCGGAGTGGTGCGACTACTCGATCGATACAGACTATACTACTGGTAAGCCACATCAACTTGTATCTGGAAATTGTCGGATGATTAACGTCCCATTATAGAGGTTCCTGACACTGGAGTCACCAGAGAGTACTGGCTGACTCTCGACGACGTGACTGTCGCTCCTGACGGCGTCTCACGTTCGGCGATGGCTGTCAATGGGTAAGTACAGATAAACAATTTAATTGAATCAGACTGATGACTCTGTAGCACTATCCCTGGCCCAACACTGTTCGCAGACTGGGGTGACACCGTCACCGTTCATGTGACAAATAACTTAGTCGACTCCAAGAATGGCACCAGTATACACTGGCACGGTATTCGTCAGAACTACACCAATGACCAGGATGGTGTTGTCTCAATTACCCAGTGTCCTACTGCTCCTGAGGACACTACCACGTACACATGGCGAGCGGCACAATATGGCAGCACTTGGTACCATTCACATTTTGCGCTGCAGGCGTGGCAAGGTATCTTTGGTGGTATCGTCATCAATGGTCCTGCTACGGCCGACTATGACGAGGATTTGGGCATGCTCTTCTTGAACGATTGGGATCACCAGGCAAGTTCTGCGTGCAGATTGACATTTGATTCTTAAGCTGATAATTACAGACGGTCGATGAGCTATATATCAGCGCGGAGAGTTCGGGACCGCCCACTCTTGACAACGGTCTCATAAACGGCACCAACACTTACGATGACGGCGGCTACCGATACAACACTTCCTTCACCTCCGGAACTTCCTACCGCATCCGACTTGTTAATGCGGCCGTGGACACTCACTTCAAGTTTATGATCGACAACCACACTATGCAAGTCATCGCTTCCGACCTCGTCCCTATCACACCTTACGAGACCACCGTCCTCGACATAGGCATGGGCCAGCGCTACGATGTTATCGTCACCGCTGACCAAGCCGATGTGGCCGACAACTTCTGGCTACGCGCCATCCCGCAATCTGCCTGCTCGGAGAATGACAACTCGGACGACATTCGTGGCATAATCTACTACGGAGACTCGCCCTCGACCCCATCCACTACTGCGTACTCTTACGATGACAGCTGTGATGACGAGACAGACAACCTGGTCCCGTACATCAGCAAGAGTGTCGAGACGGAATCGAGTACGAACGTCGAGGCCGCCACTGTAGGCTATAACTCCGACAAGCTCTTCCGCTGGTTCCTGAACAGCACTACCATGGTTGTTGAGTGGGAGAACCCGACTCTTGAACAAATTCTTGCAGGCAACACAACCTACGCGACGTCTAATGCTGTACTTGAGTTGCCCGATGCGAATATATGGACATACCTCGTCATCGAGACCACGTTGTCTGTGCCTCACCCGATCCATCTCCACGGGCACGACTTCTCCGTCCTCGCACAAGGCTCTGGAACTTACTCTTCGTCCGTCTCCCTCAACCTAGATAACCCGCCCCGCAGGGATACAGCCATGCTGCCAGCTAGTGGTTACCTGGTGCTGGCATTCGAGACGGACAATCCTGGTGCTTGGCTAATGCACTGTCATATTGGCTGGCACACAAGTGAAGGCTTTGCGCTGCAGTTCATCGAGAGGTATGATGAGATTGCGGCGCTGACGGATGAGGACCGGTTGACTACAGGGTGTGATAACTGGACGAGCTTTACGGAGGAGGCGAGTATTGAGCAGGATGACTCTGGTGTGTAAGTCTGATGCAGACATCGAAAGTTCGGTGTAGTTTGATGAAGTCTCATATATTGGGTTTGGTGATGCTTCGGTGTTGATGCTTACATTCATTTGTTTTCCTTGTCACATGCCTACTTCTGACGTCCTTCGATTGCTCTATTTCGATAACTCTTACATTCAACAAGATCAACACTATGATCCGTCTAAGCGAGCACATCGTGAGTGAAAGCTAACCCAATAAGCTGTCGTTATCTGACGGAAGAGCTTGTGCTTTAGATGACCAACCCGGGACTCGGCGACCCGCTCTGTCGCAAATCGCTCACGATTCTGCTCTCTTACGGTTCTTACTACACCACCACTACTAGCGACACAGCGGTCTGGTTTTCTCACCAAGGGCTGAAGCGTGTGCGGCGATCGAAGCTCACGCTGCTGCGGTGCGAGCCGCTCGTCAGCAGGGCGTGCCTGAGCACCAACTGCCGCGCATCCGTTTTCCTAACTGGTAAGCTTCACTCCAACGCTGTACGCACTGCAAGTGCTCACTGACCGACCAAGGGTGTACGGAAACGAAGCCACGTCTGCTCCCACCGGCGGCCCTGCTGCAACCATTGTCGCGGACCGCCGTGGCCCTGATGCTGGTGGTGCAGGCTTTGTCGACAAGAAGAAGGAGAGCCGCTTTTTCAACAAGTTCAACTACTGAACTTGAGGCTGACAAATTTCTGGGGTGGTCAAGCATGATTGAGTAAGTCATAACGTTCGGGATATGGAGGACGAGGAAGTACCTGAACACTGAGTCGGTACCTGCGTTACGTGACGGGTAGTAAAGCATTACAATTTGATACTCTCGCCAACTACGCTGTCAGCTTCAATAACTCCGCCTGATTTGCAAGCGCGTCTTCCTTTATCATCTCCGCCGCCCCTTCACCCACTCCATACGCCACCATCTGCGTATGTCCATTATTAAGCCTCGGAATCGAGCTTACATCCGCGACCCTCAGGCTGCGGACCCCACGCACGCGTAGGCGCGAGTCGAGGACGGCGTTAGGGTCGGAGGACGGGCCCATCGAGCATGTGCTGCTGGGGTGGTAACCTAGATACGAAAACTTGTCAATTATGTTGTTTTTGCTAGTGACGAGGAGGAAGGAGGGAAAGAGAGGGGGACCCACAAGTTGTGGCGTGTTGTTTAACATACGGAATCCAATCCTCTCTGGTCGTGTTTTTGTGGTGCGTCAAATTCGCCGGCCAACTCCCCTTAACTACTTCCTTCGTTCCCTTGCCATTCATAACCATCTCATTCGCGAACCGACACGCTTCCGTCATAACCAGCATGTCCAATGGGTCGGCGAGGTAGTTGTGATCGACTACCGGGTTGTCTGTCGGATCAGCAGACTTCAATGTTACGGACCCGCGGCTCTTCTGGTTGAAAAGCAGGTTGCACATGGCGAATGTGTGTTTCCCATCAATCGGGAAGTCATCGTACTGTTTTGGCCCACCATACAGCTCGGTGTTCCAGAACTCCATGTTCGGCTGGTTTGGCTTTAAGCCCATTGGATCGCGGCCCTCCTCTTTCTTTGCATTAGTCCAGAGCTCTGAGTCTTGGAGACGGTCGTCAAGGCGCGCATAGCCGAAGATACCTAGGATGCCATGTTAGCTTGAAAGTGATGTGAGGGGGTGGGAAGTACCGAAGGGAAAGGTGCTGAGCAGGCCGGTTTTCTTCTCTTTGTAGAGCTGGTAGGTTGACGCGATGGCGTTGTCGTGGTAGGCAAGGTAGTCGTTTGTTAGGCGCGGTTCGGAGACTTCGTAGAAGATGAAGACGAGCTGGTGGATGACTATCAGCACATATACACAAAAGGTCTGTTACTGCTAAGGGGTGATACGTACGCAGTGATCTTGCAGTTTTTGACCAACACCAGGCAGGTCGACTCTGCATTCGATACCGTGTTTCTCGAGCTGTTCCTTCGGTCCGAGGCCCGAGCGCATCAGGATCGTTGGACTACAATAGGCACCGGCTGCGACGATGATTTCTTTCTTTGCTTGATACTCGATCTTCTTGCCAGCTTTCGAAATGGTGGCTACTCCTGTCGCAGTGGGCTCGCCCGACTCATCGGAGAAGAGGATCTTGTCAACGACGACTTCGGTCTTGATGGTGATGTTTGCTCTTTTATATCCTTTGGTGACAAAGTCTGCCGCTGTGGTTCGGATACCTTGATGCACTGTGCGCAGCACGTCACCGCATCCATGGGGTGTCTCGCCAGTCGAAAACATGTCGGGATGGTAGGGTAGTCCAATGTCTATCATGCTCTCCTTGATACGCTCGGAGATTGGTGCGAGGTCGTGCGGCTCGATGTGTAGAGGACCAGAGGTACCGTGGACAGACATGTCGGCTTTGTACCAGTCTTTTTCGTGCATTGTCTCCGCCTGTCTGGGTCAGCAGTGCACTCTCATATGGAAGTTGTGCAAGCTTGCCTTCGCCATGTATCCAAACATCTGGTCACCAGTCCACTCCTTCATCCCCCAGTCATCGTAGTCCTGCTTTGTACCGCGAATACACAGTGTCCCGTTGACACCACTGGACCCGCCGAGGAACCGACCGCGACTGACTTTGACCTGTCTGTTGCCTACACTGTTCATCGGCTCGGTAACAATGTTCCAGTCCGTCTCGCTATCGAAGTTTTTGCTCCATCTTAAGTAGACAGTGAGTATAACCCATAGGATAGTAATGCATCAAAAGCTCACCCTCCCGCCATGTGCACGTTCTCCAGATCCGCATTGTCGGGTCCAGCTTCTAGAACGAGGATTTTGGCATCGATGTCCTCAGCGAGGCGGCCCGCGATCACACAGCCAGATGTTCCACCACTGTCTTCAGGTCAGCAAGCTTCTCCCAGCTCCACTTCGTCGTAAATATGATCCTGCTCACGTAACGTGTCTTTACATACCCGCAGATGATATAATCATAAACCTCAGCAGGGTCTATAGAATCAACACGTTCGAGCGACATTGTAGCGATAAGGTATCCTGTCTATGGTTGTCGAAACAAGCACCTGGTAAAGAGTTGTAGCTTCGAGCAGGTCTTTATGCAGTCTGCAACTCAGCTCCATCTGACACGGAACCTGTCCGCACTCCTTCCGCAGTGAGCTATCTTAGTGCCTGAGTAGCATATGGAGATCAGCCAAGCCCATGTACTACCCCACACCAAGTGGACGTGAGACGGGCGTGGTACTTCTGTGTGGTACGTGTTACCCAGTCATTTTGTTGCCGATGGTGTCGCATTGTGCGTCAGGGAGATATACTCTTTGATCGTCCAGTATGCGGTCGAGAGTAGCTTAATGAATCCATTTAGCAATTACATGCCCCCATCCGTGCAAAGGAAATGGAAGGCCTTGCCAATGCACGCCGTGCGTCTTGAGTACTTAAAGCGCGTGCTTAAAAGCGCGTCACTTAGGAGTCGAGTACCTGCGCGGATCCACGCCAGGCAATGACCTAGTATGATGGTGTTGGTGTGCGTACTCCACATGTGCATGAAATGCGGGGTCCCCAGATCCGCAAGGGTCCCGGAAAACAACACGGCTTGATGAACTGTTCTTGTATGTGGACAAATGCAGGAGTACAGATCAACTATTTGTGCAGAGAACAGTCAGGTTATCTTTTCAGAACTTCCTGATTAGCGTGCGCGTTGTGTATAGGAAAGGTGCTCGTGGCGAGCCAGCCTTTCGCCCTAAGCCTCGCACCAACAACAGACTCTCCTTGTCATAATACAATGGCTGCCATGATACAGACGTGTGTGAATTGGTGTAAGGTTCACAGAGTCGCCTGGAGATGTGATCCAGCCTTGCAGATCGAGTCCTGCAATCTGCAATGCCCACATACAAATGACCATCGAGACGAGGGATGTCGACCGGCGCAATCAGCTCCAGCTCATTAACCCTCAACACCCTCGACCAATGCAAAAACAACTCCCATAGAATTTGTTCCCCCACCTTAAACTCCACTGATATACTCCAACAACCCCTTCAACGTTCTATTCTCAACCCTACATCCCTCACCCTCCCTCATCGCGCGCCTATACCCATGGCTTAACCACATTCGAATCAACTCTGGATCCATGTTGCGGACATTCTGCTGCGAAATCATTACAAACGCCTGCGCGCAGAGCGTCGTGCTTTCCGATGGGCTGGGTGAAGGTCTCGTCTTGCAGGTCGAGCACTCCGGATCCGCGATGCCTGGGGTCGCGTTAATAAGCGGAGATGCTGATGGTTCAGAAGGCGTGGATGTTGTGAGAATAGTGTCGGTGCAGCACGGTGGTGGGCCGACGACTGGCATAGGAGGAAGGAGCAGCTGGAAAGATGTGGCGATGAGCGTGGGCTCTGTGGCGTTACTCGACATCGGAAGATCAAGTACCGTACTCGGTGATGACAGGCCAAGTGGTAAGATGCTCGATGACCCGATCGCGACTGCACTATCCAGTCGCTCGAAGTGCTTGGAGATATCGTAGCATGCAAAAGCATTAGCGGTGTCTCTTTCTGCTTTGAGAGCTTCGATTTCTGCTTTTGTGGCTGCTAGCTGTCGTTCGGTCTCCGCAAGTTTTAGCTCTAGAGATACTACATGGTCTCTCTGGCGGGCGCGATGGCGTCTCTGATTTTCCCGGACGCGATTCAGGGTGTGCTCAGCAGACACACGCTGTTTGCGACGCGGGAGGCTGTGATCTGAAGACGATGCGGAAGTTGGTGAAGGCACTATTGATGTTGACAGCGTCATTGTGGACGAAGTCACGTTGGATCTGATCTGGACATATGCTGATAATGAGGATTCAAGTGGATATACATCATTCGGGATGAGTGTGTCAGTATACAGGAAGGCGAGAGGCTGAAGCACGAGAAGTCAGAGATCTTGGCGATATGTCACCTATGAAGCCGCCATGCGATAGGCCACATTGCGGAAGGCTCGACCCAGGGATCCAACACCTTTTGAGCCCAAACCAATTTTCGTCTGTAGCGATCCTGTTCAATTGAAGAAAAAAAGTGTGCGATGAATAAAGAACCAGTCCGGATGATGGGATTGATAGACTCGCCTGCTGGGGAGCAACGGGAAAATGAGACATATCTTATCCTTGAAAATTTACCTATTATTTAACTATCAGATTAATACATGTTTTCATCTTAGAAGCAAAGCCTCCTTGGCCAAGTGGTAAGGCGTCGCACTTGTAATGCGAAGATCGCTCGTTCGATTCGGGTAGGTGGCATCACAGCTTTCTTTTTTGCCTCCATGTCATCAGACGCTCGCAGTTGGAATCTCCACGATCCTTCTTTCTGCCAAGTCTTTGCACCGGTACATTTATTTTCCACTCCGACTGCTATTGGACGAGATGCGATGGCCAAGTCTGCTTTTCCGTACCAAGAATAAAGGGAGATGTAACCGCTTAGTCTCTGAAGGTGATGGCTGCGCACCTTTTGATGGACTATAATCACGTACAAAGATTGTTCAACACCGCCACGGTATCGGTATACTTTCAAGATTTGGCAGGCCGATTGAAGACTACTCTGCAATGTGTTGCCAACGACGTAGCTGTTCTTTTGTGTATGACTTGGCAACGTATAGCCTTGTATACTCTGATGGGGATCGTATAAGGTCTATATTCATATGCTATACGTTTTACACCCGTCTGGTCTTCTGCATCGACGCGGCACCAGGCTCAACACTCATCTCGACCACCTTCCCTCGCTTCTGCACCACCGCTCCACCGATTGCACCATTGCTGCCTTCTCCCTTCTTCGTCCTAGTAGTCATCTTCTCCTCGCCTCTCAGTGTCTCAACCCCCCTCGCGACCGACCCCGTAATCATCGCAACAACGAGAATCAAATCCACAATATGCACACCCCACCACCAATGCTGCACCCCGACCCCACACGTACTAAACTCAATCACCCACTCTCCCCTCTCGCCTTTCTCAAAATCGAACCATGCGGATAGGAAGCCCGCATACCCGGAGAAATCGCCCATCATGCTGCGCAGGGTGATTTCGCGCAGGTGTGGGGAGGAGGGGATGTGTGTACATTCGTTATCTTGGGAGATGTCGAAGGGGAGTGTGGGGAAGCGGCGCGCTTTCCAGGCTTGTTCTGCAGGGTTCTCGGGTATGGTTTCGTTCGCGGATATGGTGTCGTCGGACAGCTCGTTGGGGATACTGACATCCGTCTCATTCGCTGTTGGCTTAGGCCAATACGCATCCCCTCTCTCTACCTCATCCGCATTGCACGAGGATGGGGCGCCAGGCTGCCGTATGTAGTGCAGCACATCGCATCCCTCATGATCATGGCCGTTAACCACAACCCCACGTCTTCCCATCCCCTTGCCCTCGGCGTCCTTGTTCGCACTCAGCCCAAAGATACTCTCCAAAACTATCTTGCTCCCGTACTCAGACAGCATGTTCTGCTCCCGCACCCCGTGGCCACCCTCAAAGAAATCAAAATAGGGTGAGTCGACGCAGATGCCGGGTTCTTTGTGCAAGGGTACGTGGGTCAGGAGGATTGTGGCGTGTGTTTTGTCGGTCACGGGGCGCGAGGTGGTGATGATGTGGTTCATGAAGGCGTAGGTGTCTTGCTGGAGCGAGTCGGTCCAGGCGGGCGTGTCGAGGTTCATGGTGTTGAGGATGACGAGGCGGAGGGCTGGCGGGGGGTCTGCGGTCGCTGTGTCTTCTGAGGAGGGGAAGGAGGGGATGGAAGTGTTGTTGGTGTTGGGTGGGAGAGTGAGCCACATGTCCCAGTTCACGCTGCCGAACGCACGCTCGAAGCGGTCTACGCGCGCATTGTCGATGTCCCCTGCGTAGCCGATGTCGTGGTTGCCCGCGATGTTGATGACGCGCCTCCCCCACGCTTTATCTGCGCCGAGGACCTCTCTCGTGCCGCCCCATGTCTTCTTGCGTTCGTCTTCCGGCTCGTCGTAGTGATCGCTCTCAACATAAACGCCCATACTCGCATCAGGCACCTTCTCCAGCCCGCGCATGACGGTGCCCCAGTAGCGGCTAGCGCGTTTATCGAACTCGCCGTCGGTGATCCACTGGCTGCCCAGCAGATCGCCCAGGACGCTGATATGCGTGGGTTCCGTCCACCATCTCAGACTCCGCGCGATATGCGCCAGGTACCAGTCATTACCCCATAGATCGACTGTCTTCCTGTAGCCTTCCAGCCAGGCGCCCAGATCCTTCACTGCACCTTTTGCTGCTGTGGAAAGGATGTCGCGCACATCCGGGGGGTCGAAGTTCGCATTGCGGATATCGCTTATGACGTTTTCGAGGGACGGAAAGATGGGCGCGTTGGGGTCTGGTAGCGAGGAGTCGCCTTCGAGCTGCGGGTCGCCGAGGGCGAGCAGGCGGAAGGGTGCTTGCGACGAGAGCAGCGGGAGCGACGTGTTGTTAGGTTGGGGAAATGTGCAGCCGTGGAAGAGGGGATACAGATACAGCCATGTTGTGCCCAAGAAAGCTACCGGTAGCAAAAGCCAAGTGAGGCCGAACAGATAGCGCGAGAGCTGCATTTATGCATCATCAAGTCATCAAGAAGGAGACGCGGGCCAGATTATGAAATGTGTTGTCGATTGCTCGGGGGTGCTGCGGAGATCAGGGGTCTGCGCTAACGACATGGGTGGTGCTCTGGAAGCATGTGCAAACGACATCAACTTCTTGTTTGAAGTCTACTAAGCAAGCGAAAAGACACTGATAATCGAAACGCTGTTCGAGAAAAACTGACATGGTAGCAACTTCGTGACGTCATATTGGTAAATCTACAACTACCCCTCCGGACTCTCATCTCCACTCCATTGCAGCTTAACCGAGCAGGTCACCAAGGGCGCCGCCAGGAGGCTTCGATCCTGACTGAGGTGACTGTGCAGCTGGCGTGCCCGAGCTAGAAGCTGGCGCACCCCACAGACCCTGACTGGTCTTCTGCTTTGCCAGGTCACCCATTGTGACTTTCTGCGTAGGCGTCTGTGCCTTCTTTGCCGAAACTCCTCCCAGCAAAGATGCAAACGCATCACCATCAGCCTTCTTGGGAGCACCACCTCCAATCTTGCCGATGCCACCTGGCGACATGACAGAGCCGGGTGTGGAAGCGCTCGACTGCGGCGCAGGCTGGGGAACCGAGGTGAAATAGTTGGGTCCAGTAGCTTGGTAACCTGTGGGGTTGGGTGGCTGTGAAAAGCTCGAGCTCATGGATGACGGCTGCGCGGGAGGGGACATGATGCGGCTCGCTGACGGTGCCGGAGATACTGTGGCGAAGAGGTCGTTCAGGTTGCTGTTCTGAGTCGCAGACTGAGGCTGTGGTGCGGCGAATTGAGTAGTGGAACTGATGGTGGAAGTCGACGCTGGAGGAGCGATACCGAACCCAGCGGGCTTCGCAGCAAGAGCAGGTGCCGCAGACTGGAAGTCGTCGAAGTCGTCGTCTTCCCCAAAGTCGTTGCTTGCGGTGGCAGCTGCAGGCTCATCGTCCCAAGCCAGCAGATCGGCCACAGGCTCAGGTGCCTTGGCCTTTGGCGGTTCCGCCTTCTTGGGTTCTCTTCTTGTCGAGCTCGATGCAGGCTCCTTGCGTCGTGGCGGGCTCGCAACAGTCTCACCCTCGTCGTACTCGTCGTATTCGTCGAATCGCTCGCGCCGTTGCTGTGTCTCGTTGAAGCTGGGGTCCTGTCCGCCGAATCCGCCTCCATCTCCGTAGACGCCGCCAGTGTGACCGCCGTACTCAGCTGACTCGCTGCCAAAGCCTCCGTATCTGCTGCCACCTCCACTGCCGGAGAAGCCACCGCCCATGCCCATGCCACCCTCGACACCTCCAAACTTGTTGCGGTTCGCGCGCGCCTTCTTTCGTTCGGTTCGTATGCGATCAACGTCGCCCAAGAGCTCCGCGAGTTCCTTGGCCCTGTTTCGAACGTTGATACCCTGATCCTTTCCGTTCTGGTCAATGAAGTGGAACTGCCGGAGCATCTTGAGAAGCGATACATGGGAGCGCGCGTCGTCGATGACTCTTTCTGAGCCATTCTTGATCAGAAACTCAAGCAATTGGAGAGCCTGGAGCGTCAACGGAGCTCAATGATGGCGGTGGTAGCACGTACCTTGTAGATCTGCCTCCATTCCTCGGAAGCCTTTTCTGTGAAGCGCTTGTAGATCATGGGCATGATCTCATTCAACAATTGACTGCTGTTGTCAGCGGTCGTATGCAGTAATGTGTGGTGGAGGGCGTACTAGTTGAACGTCCCGTTGGCGATCTCCTGCATCAGGGTCGAGGATGCACCTATCCACAGTCAGCTGTTGCCTTGTACACATCATCGTAGACGACATACCCCATGGCTCATTGTTGGTCGCCTCGCGCACCTTGGCCTCCATCTCTGTGAAGTTCATCACCGCTGCAACGACACGTTAGCAGTGGCCAGCTGGCGGGGTCTTGCTACCATTCGCACCATTCTGGGCTTTGCGGAATCCGGCCTTCAGGTCGTAGAGCGTGAGATTGCTCACTTGGTCCTTCAAGCTGTTGAAATCCATAATTGTGGGTTGTTGACGTTGCGGCGTCGTTCTAGTCGACCGTGTCGAAGGGGGAGGGTCGGGTGGCAGCAATTGGGCGCAATTCGGGTCCGTTGCGTCAGGGACGTGTCTCTATTGTTTCCAGGCCTCTGGGCAGCTGCACTTGAACTTGAGAGTTTTGTAGACCGCGGCAGGAATCCCAATGCAGTGTCAACTGTGCATTCACCTTACCAAGGGGCATGTCAATCGAGGGAGGCCCGGAGGTGAGCGGTGCGATGCATGGCCGTGCACGTGATTAATATGCCGATTAATCGAAGCTCAACCTTGGAAGCAGGTCGACAACTGAAAAACTCCCTCGAAACTAGGCACTACTCAAGTCTCACATAGATGGTGAACCCGCTTCTTGCTACACAGTGCGGGAAGAATTCAGACAACACGACGATGCAATAAGTCAAGGGCGTACGTCCGCGATGTGGGAGCAATCGACACCCCCGAATGCGAAAACGCGCTAAGAAACTGGAGAAGCTTCGAGCTTCGAGCTTCGTAGACTTTTGATCCCCTGGACTCACACTCTCCACCATCATCGACTGTACAATAGCCATCTCTCCTGGGTCAATTGTACCATAGCCATCTATTCTGCATCTTGTATTGCATAGCCACTTGTCTTTGGACTTCTCTGCAGCCCTTGCCGCCACCGCATCCATCGATACCAGTTTATCCGTTGTACAGTAGCTGTTCAGGCATCCAGATCGCCTCAGAAAGTAAGTGTGCATCCTGTTTGGCCCTGCTTCGCCCCGCATCCCACGCCCCAGCCGCGGCTACACCGCGCATATCGCCAGATGCACGCAAGAGCTCGCTGGAGCTTCACCGCGCCTAAGGATGCATGCTAACTGCTTACAGCCCCCACCACACCCCGCGCCCCACCATGTCTACTTCTTCCACTGTCCTCTCGGCTTTCCGCCGCTCCACCGTTAACTCTCTTCGCCTCCAAGCTCCCATCAACAAGCGTTTCTTTACTCCTTCCGCTGCCAACATGGTTGTCAAGACTTACTTCGATGTCAACTGGACTGGCCCCGAGGTCACTGTCGACCAGCGCGGCAACGTGACCAACGTCGGCCCCGTGAAGGGTGAGCTGCCCCGCTATGCCATGCTTCCGAGCCCTGCCCTGCTCAGGGAGCTACAGCTTCGACCCCTATCACAGCTTGCACAGTACATGGGCAATTGCTGACATGGCGTCCCTACAGAGCAATCCGGCCGCATCAACTTCGAGCTTTATGACGATGTCGTCCCCAAGACGGTCGAGAACTTCCGCGCTCTCTGCACCGGCGAGAAGGGCTTCGGTTACCAGAACTCCAAGTTCCACCGCGTGATTCCCCAGTTCATGCTCCAGGGTGGTGACTTCACCCGTGGCAACGTATGTAGTACAATGCGCCCGGCTGCGCAAACTGTGCACCGCAGGACAGCTAGCTGACCGCCAACAGGGCACCGGTGGAAAGTCCATCTACGGCGAGAAGTTCAGCGACGAGAACTTCAAGCTGACCCACAACAAGCCCTTCCTCCTCTCCATGGCCAACGCCGGCCCCAACACGTACGTGTGCTGCAACATTACCCTCGACATCGGCTAACAAACTCGCAGCAACGGCTCGCAGTTCTTCATCACCACCGTCGTCACCTCATGGCTCGACGGCAAGCACGTCGTCTTCGGCGGTGTTCCCGACGGCGATGTCGAGTCGTACAAGGTCGTCAAGGCGATTGAGGCTTGCGGTAGCGGCAGCGGTCAGATCAAGCACAAGGAGGGCCCACCTACCATTGTCGGTGCCGGTGAGCAGTAGACGATTAATGTATAGAGTTTGATGGCAGATTGAAAGGCGTTGTCTTTTTGGCGCATTCGGCAGCTTTTGCAAAAGCAGCGATGCCCACTGGAGTTCAGTCCCTTCTATTCAGTAGCTACGAGCAGCAATCGGATCTACTGATGAATGTGCACACCCGTAGCCAGCACTCATGCCTCGTTGACGCGATGCGCCCATGCTTCACAACTGCCCCAAAATTTATCGACATGAGGGGCATTCAACAACCCCGCAATTAGCTCCCGCACGTCACCACCGACAACTCCCGAATGACATCCACGACCAAGCTTCAACAGGCAAGGCTTCCATGTGCAGCTTTCCCACAAATGCCGATTGACAGCCTCAACGACGGGCCGGCTGCTATCGAACGTTCTGTGTAGGGCGTGATGCTGACATACACCCTAAACACACAGGATCAGGACATCAATTGACTCACTAACATCTTCTGGCTTCCATCCTTCCAGGTCTTTCTGACTCTCCTCTTCTTGCAAACGTAATAACCTCTTCAAGCTCCATAATCCTTCTTTGACTCAGTGACCACTTCACTCTTCACTGCTCTCCTCCAATTCCCACTCCGACATCCTACCAAACACCGCCCATGGCGCCACTCCACCCAGCAACCCACGGCATCCACGCCGACGACTGCACAAACATCCTCACCGACATCGCACCTCCCATCCACACCAGCACCACCTTCCGCTACCCCCGGGACCCGTCAAAACTCACCCCCGTCTCCCCTGAAGAAGGCGAAGTCATGGACCTCAGCATGCCCCTTATCTACTCGCGCTTGGCATCCGCAAATATCAATCGCCTCGAGACCATTCTTGCCCCCCTCATTTTCCCGAGAGCCAAGGAGGAGGAGTATGAAAAGCTGGCGAACCATGTTGTGAGTTATAGCAGTGGATTGAGCGCGTTCCATGCGCTCCTTGTAAGTGTGGTGCCGAAAGTCGTCGCAATCAACGGGGGATACCACGGCTGTCACGGCGTTCTCGACCTACACAAGCGTATGCACGGCGTGCGCACCGTAGACCTTCACGCCGACGAGAAAACCTGGGATGAGAGTGGCATCGGAAAAGGCGATCTGGTGCACCTCGAAACACCCCTGAACCCTACCGGCGAAGCCTTCAGCATCAAGAAGTACGCCGAGCGAGCACATGCCCGCGGTGCGTTTCTGTCTGTCGACGCGACGTTTGCGCCGCCCGGGCTACAGGATCCGTTCGCATGGGGCGCGGATTTTGTCATGCACTCCGGCACGAAGTATATTGGTGGACACAGCGATATGCTGTGCGGTATACTCGCCACCGCCGCTACTTCGGAGGGACTGAAGAGAGCTCACGGGCTGCGCGCTGATCGCTTACACCTTGGCGCCGTGCTGGGGAGTCTAGAGGGCTGGTTGGGCGTGCGAAGCCTGCGGACCATGGAACTCCGCGTGCAGCGGCAGAGTTCGAATGCCGATCGCTTAGTAGCCTGGCTCAACGACTCCGTCAACGGGATCGGAGAGGATAGCTCAGTCGTGAAGAAGGTCGTGAATCGCGTTACCCACGCCTCCCTCCAAACCGCCGACTTCAGCTGGTTGAAGGAGCAGATGCCACATGGGTTCGGGCCCGTGTTTAGCATCTACGCACACGACTCTCAGCAAGCGCGCAGTCTGCCGAGTCATCTGAAGCTGTTCCACCACGCGACGAGTCTGGGCGGTGTGGAGAGTCTGATTGAGTGGAGGAAGATGAGCGACGCGGAGGTTGATGAGCGCTTGTTGCGGGTTAGTATTGGAGTTGAGAACTGGGAGGATCTGAAGAACGACTTCTTGAGCGCTTTCAAGGCTCTGGCAGAAGGCAGTGCGAGTAAGGAAAATGCTACGAATGGGACGAACGTACAAGTTGGTCAGGAGGGCGCAAAAGTCGAGGGTGCTGGGCAGGGGTCTGTTTGAGAGATTGGACATGCAGAAGAGGAAGCACTGTAAAAGCAACGTCCGCAAGATTTCAGACCGTAGAGTGAAGGAACCAAGTAAATCCAAAAGTTGAACTCCAAAAGTCGAACTCCAAAAGCCGAACTTAAATAAATGATGAAAGGCCATCTGAGAGTAGTGAGAAATCCGTGGGACTAATTTGCAACTAGCACTGTTCCCTCTGTTTATGGAAAGCATACAGACGTTGCTCAATGTTATTGCTCACGTCTCGCTTTCCAATCCGTCCGACTCGGGCGGCGAGTGAGAATCCAGTAGGTGGAGTGAGCGTCGTGATGTAGTATTTTGATTCGCGGAATGTTCAGCACGCTTGAATTCGAAAAAATGAGTGCTTGTTATGATATATCTTCATTGATTCAAAAAAGATCAAAGTCGTTTAGAAATCGGCTAAATAATGGTTGTCATTGGTCCCAAAGACCCAAGGAGCACAAAATCCCAACTCGAGATTGTTCCATGCTCCGTGCAAAATGCCGCTGTAAGAATCGTTAATGTAGAGACAACGCCCCCCCCCCCCCCCAACACCGTGCTATGCTTTGCAGCCCCGGAGAAAAAAAGTAGGCCATCATAATCATCGTCAGCCTCCTGCTCGTCTTGCATGGACCTAAGCAAGGCCAAAAACACCCTTCATCCTTCTCCACAACTCAGCGCCCATAGCCCTCCTCGTATCTTCGGTCCTGAAGCTGGCTTCCTTGTTCTCAGCAGCGCGCCTGATAAGGAAATTAAGACACTCCGTCATCGTTCCCCACGCAAGCAGCTTAACAACCTTCGCATTCTCATCCGCCTTCATCGTCGGATCCTGCACCAGACTCTGGCTAATCTCATCCGCCATGCCCTGCAACTGCGCATACGTCAACCTTGGCAGGTTCTCTGGGGACGTGACGAGCATCTGGGATGCGCGGATTGCCTTTGCGGAGGTGATGGTGGCGAGGTTGTGCGTTGCGAGGACGATGTTGACGGCGGGGAAGGCGACAGAAGGATTGCTCGGGCTGATGGAGTCAGACCAGGACTGGCGAAGGACGGTGGCCGCGCAGGCATCGTAGCATGCATCTGTGCCCTCTTTGGTGTCGAAGCAGGTACCCGGTGCCTCGGAGTTGAGATAAGCGCCACGCACGAGCTTGACACCCGCGATGTAGCCACCCTTGGAAGCCTTCTCGAGGTGTTGCGCGATACGGGCGGGCACGGCGCGCAGGTAGCACTGGTATGTTGTGTAGATGAGAGCGCGGCCGTATTCCTTGGTGTTGTACTTCTTCTGCAGGGCGGTGGTCCATTTCTCCAGGCCGATGTTAGTGATCTCCTCTTCGGCGCCGGGAAGCAGGCAGATGCCCTTGGCGGCAGCGGCGTCACAGGCTTCGGTGATGGCGGACCACATTTCGGGGGTGGCGTCTTGTTGGTTCTGGAGGAGGTGGAGAGCGTGACGGCCGAGTCCGGACCATCTGGGGGAAAGTTAGTATACGCATATCGGTAGAGTGGAGGTGGAGTGGCTTACTTGAGACCGATGAAGTCGCCCTCACTGGCCATCTCAACACTCTTCATCATACCCTTGCGCCAGACCTCGATCTCAGCAGCTGTCTCGGCGGCGGTGGGCTCACTTCCTCCGAGAACCTCCAGTGCGTACTCGATGATGACTCCGTCGTATCCGAGCACTGATCGTGCAGCGGCAAGATTTGGCTTCACCTCGTGCGCCTTGTCGCCAGCGCAGAATTGAGCGTAGAAAGTGCTCTTCAACAATGTCCTGATAAGAGGGTTGCGCTCGACATCCATAAGGTAATTCTTCGAGTCGAGCATCTTTCGCAGAACAGTGAATGTTAAACCAAGAAGGGCTGGAGAGGAAGACATGGCAGTGATCATGTATGAGCGGGCGACTGATGATGTAGGAAGGCGAGCGAGAACGGATTTTGGTGTTGATCCCTGGCAATATGTCTTTGTGGACAGCAGCTGTGCGGAGGGTGATGTGGGAGCTGGCCCTTGGATGGCTGTGTTGTGGCGGGAGCTCTGGTGGACATTGCGGGTCAACACTCTCGATGTGGGTGCGAGTGTAAGACGCTGAAGACGCTGGACCTGCTGGAAGCGGGAGCACATCTTGAGTTTGTGTATGTGTGATCTACTTCGATATATGGGTTAATATGTCGAAGTGATGTATGTGGTGGTGGAAGATGCAGTCGGTCGCGGTTTGATTGATTGGTTTAATGTCTTATGTGAATCTGAGAGTCGGTGGCGGTAATCTGAAGTAAATCCACGAGAATCCCCTTAGGCTTCAAATATTCACTCCAGAGCGGTTCGATGGTATTGTGACCACTAGAAACGAACTTGACGCCATATATACTTTCAAGCACATTCAGGGTCTTCCATGGAACGCCCACGATGTTGCGCGTGGTGCTCGGCCAGCGTCGGATGGCCCTAAAGCTGCCCCATACTGCTCCAGACTGACGACGCCGCACTGGACCTATCGGCCTGTAAGCGGAGCTTTCATGATTGGTCAATGGCTGCAGTCGTTCCTGGAGAAGCAGAGCGCGGCATCGTCGGAAGGCGCTGAGATCTTTGAAGTTGTGTCTTCTGGAAGCTTGAGGGGTCCTGTCAGCATGGTCACATGCAGCCGCTCGGCAGAACGTCATTGTCCTTCGTCATTGCGAGATCCCTCGATGATCCAAGGCGCCCAAGACATCGTTAAGGCCTGCTTCTTTGTCACCTTGCGCACTCGTACGTTTCATCGCGACCATCGTGACCATCTTCCCAGCTTCCCCACACTCGGCACTCTCATTCAAAACGTGCTGCACCTCAGATCGCTAGCCTCCCAGCGCACAGCCCCTACTGCGACCCATTCACTCACAACGTACTCCAGTTTGAGCCGCATATACCCAGCTGCAGTCGCTCTTAAACTAACGACACTCCAAACAATTATTTTGCGTGACAGCAACAATTCTCCACTCCATCTCGCCTGAGTCTGGCGCTGTCTCGGTCGTGCCATGTATGCCGGTATCGGTTGTGGTGAGCAGCCCGCTGCTGTGAAGATTTTCGCGCCCAGAGCGAGGCAGACCGAACGGCGTGCGGCTCTCATCGGTGTGGGGCATCGCGGTATCCATCATGGCAGTGGTGGGTGGCTGCATTTTGCACTTCGTTTGTGACAATGCTGCAGATGCTTGCATTATCTATGCTTTTGTCCATGCTTTCTGTATGTTTTGGCCAGGAGTTCTTCGATGTTACTTGGATGGGGTAGGCGGACGTCCGTTGTGTTGAACACCTTGTGTGCATGCACACTGATATCTTTGTCAGATACATTTTTGGCTCTCTGACAAGATGAATTACAGTGAAAAGTATGCTGAAGTAAGGCAAAAGGTCGGTTGCTTTTTGATATACTTCATCATGCTCATGGTATGTTCCTTCGTGTTGCCGTACCTGTTGGTCGAAGCCGACCTCAACGCCGCGCTTGCGAAATCCCTATTCACTTCCCAATATTCTCGCCGCCCAAGGTATATAATCTAGTTCTTCTTCCCACCGCCGAGCCACTTGCCCGAAGCTGGTGTCTTCTGCACACCGTAGACGTCTTCGCCTACCCCACTCGTGGCTGTCGCTGCCTGCCCACGACCATCGACAAGTTTGGAAGAGGATTCCCTGGTCTCAATAAGTCCGGAATGGGATAGAATGTCGTATGTGTGGTTGAATAAGCTTGCTGAACGTCACTGCTGCCCACTGTTCTCGAGGATTCAGGCTGGTTTGCCATCCAATCCGCTGGCAGTGCAGGGCGGGTAGAAGATCGGTTGCCTGGAGCATCGGCTGTTGCCAGGGCTTCGTCCATTGCCCGATCGGCCGAGTCTTCAAGAGACGGCTCGTCAGTGTCTTCTTCCTGCGCTGGCAGCGACGAAGGTACTGGAGAAGCAGCCGGCGCTTGTTAGCGGCGGCCAGGAAGACGAGGCAACGCAGTGATCTCATCGTCACCACCGCCTCATGTCTGCATCGAACTCTTCGCCGATGGGAGATTTAGGTAACGGCTTCTTCTCACTCTCCAAGAACTTCTGAGGAACTCCTTCACCCTCTGCCTCAACCCAGCCTCTGCAGGATTGGCTTCTGCTCTGCAGTGGTGGGCACTGCAGCTCCAGCTTGTGAGGTGGCACCGTGTGGGGTGGGCGGCAGTGACTTATCGATGCCGAGGGATGCTTCATTGTCTGTTGGAGCTTGTACGGAATCGAGAGGCGGGACACTTACAGTTGTGCCCTCAACTGCGTTGCGCTGCTTCCTGCTCTTGAAGCTGCTCCTCCGCCGCTATCAAGGCGTCCACATACTCGTCTCTAGCCTCTTTCTCGGCTGCAGCACGCTGTCTACGGTCCTCATCGACCTTCCAGGAGTAGTCAACGAGGTTAGCCATCGTACTGTGTGCGCGCGCCAGTGGTAACTCGTAGCTATGTCTGGTAGCTACGTACTTGTTATACTAGTCGTAAGTATAGGTTATATACGTGTTGCCGACTTCGAGATCGCAAAAGGGTTGAAAGAGTAGATGAGTGGGAGAGTGGGTGTAGAAGCAGATTGCGACGGAATAAAACCCTGCAAGAGGGAGCTGTGGTGAAGTGAAGTGAAGGCACGTACCTGCTCAATCGAGTCCCAGATTGGCCCCATGGACGATTTTGAATCCGAAGCGAACGGCCCCTTCACCTCGAGAGCGCGACCTACTGGAAGTGCACGGCGAAGACTCCGGCCAGACATACTACCAGAGGACTGTCTTCAAGTCGTGCATGGCTCAATGTGCTCTGGAAGAAAGGAGCATTCCCATTTAGTCATGTATGGAGCGAACTGCTGACGAGAAATTGAATTGACATAACCGGCTTTTTGACCACAATCCACGCTTACCCCATCATCCGACATCAGCAGACCCTTCATCTTGAACGCGTGCGCCTTGTCCATGACCAGCGCCAAGAACAAGCACATCTCCACGAACAATCCCGGCGGCCCTTCAGCTCCTCGCAGCCTCTCGCAACTCTCCTACATCGGACTCCCCCTCCACCCTGTGCGCCCCCTCCCCCAGCACATCACTTACCCAACTAACCCGATCGTTGACAAAAACCTCCATCGTCGGCCTGAGCCTCCCCTCACCGCAGAAACATGTCGCTGTGGCATCGTCATCTTTGGACCAACCGTCGTTGGCAAGCCCAGCGAGGGGAAGGTAGGGTCTTGGCTTGTCGGAGTCGCGGATGGAGGGTGCTTACGACATAGGGTTTGAGTATTTTGGATATTGCGGTTTGAGATATCGGTATTGGGAAGATATACCGTCAAATGCTAGGTTATAGCGAATGTCAAAGGTGGAATTATTCAGTAATCCAAGGAATCATTCGCGAACAACGATCCTTAACATAGCTGATCGCAGATCAGTGTTGTTGCACAATCGTTCAATATATTTTGCACATCTGTTATCGTCAGATGCAAGTTGCTTGTAGCGCAGAGATGAAGGGTAATGGAAGCTAAACGAATGTAGTCGAACTAGGGTGATTAATGGATGGATCAATAATCTAACGTCGGCCCTACGGCGGACGAACAGCTGTATGATGGACCCTCGCATCGAAACGTTGGATTTGAAGTAGACTGGTATAAAACACCCTCCAAACAGGGGACGAATAGGGTAAGCATACTGCGACCACGAAATAGGAGACGCCGCAGTCGCACCTAGGAAGCTTTCGCGTCAGGAGATCTACCTGAACCCACCATTACACCTCATACCGTGTCGTCGTTCGTCCTCTTAGCACCTCTTCATACACACTGACCATAGACCCTGAACTGGCCTCGCTATCACAGCAAGCCGAACAACCGTTGTGTTTGCGTCTCCGCCTCTGAAGCTTCGTTTGAGCTTTCTAAGCGCCGGGTGGCGCAGGACTCCTCTCCTTCCCTCTACTCAACAACCCCCTCCTCTCCTTCTGCACCCTCGGACTCACACTCCCGACATGACTAACCGCATCGGCGAGCACGAAAGAGCTGCGAATAACAACCCTACCTTTACCCACGCCGACATTCTTTTCACCACCCGCGCCTGAGTCATCGATAGTGAATTGGGCTTCGCCGAGCTCGTCGTCGCGGCCGAACGTGGCGTGGTCTTTGACAGTGACTCTGAAGAACTGGTCGGCTGTGCAGGAGACTTTGAAAGACTCGTCTGAGAACTCGACGGAGCCGGTAGCCGTCTTGATGTGGTCGGTCTTGTGCACGTCCTTCTTGCCGAGGTGGACAAAGACGCGGAGATTTGTGCCGGGCGGGAAGCCGTCTGCGGAGAGGATCTGGATGTTGGCTGTGCCCTGCTCACCGGCGCCGGGGGCGGAGGCGTCGCCTTTCCTACTAGCGAAGGATTGCGCGCCCCAGCTGCGGTGGCGGTTGTGTTCTGATGTGTTACGGTTGGGAGTTGTAGGCTCTGCAGAAATAGAAGTCGAGTTTCCGCCCTCGACGGAGACGAGGGGGACGTCTATGCTAGGTCTGTCTGCTGAGTCTGGGTACTCAAAGTCCTCTTCACCGTTGGCGCCGCGGGATTTTCTGCGCTTGAAACCGCGACCGAGGAACGTTCCTGCGCGGACCACGTTGCCACCAACAAAGGCAGCGCCCTTCCCGACGCCCTTGACGGGGGCTCCAATGACTTTACCGGGTACAGCGAATGTGCCTGAGAAGGTGGATGAGCCCTGGCGTGAGCGAACGACGTAGTCGGGTTTGAAAAGCATTCTAAGCCTAATCGCACCGCTCTTGCCGTCCAAGCCAAGAGTGACTTCTTGTTGCTGGAACGGCTCCAAAATCTCGAGATTGATAGCAGACTTGCCAAGGAAGTCGGCCTTGTCGCCGAAATCCCAGTCGTACACATTGACGACGAAATCTGCTGCCGTCCGACTCCGTACGGGGACCTCGAAGTACTCGTTCCACGCTGGATGTAAGGTCTTCTTCTGTGTTTTCGTCTTGTAGACCTCTTTGTCGTTCAGAACGAATTTACAGTAAGGGTCCGAGAAACCATTGCGATCAGCGGCTGGCAGGTCAGCTGCATCGAGGACGTCGACGCGAAGTGTGCCTTGGTTGTTGAACGATTCGCTGGGATCCAGGCGCATCTTGACAGGGAGATATTTGAGACTGACGGTGATCTTGCTCTCCCTGCCGTGCTTGTCCTTCAGAGTAAGCTGAGTGGGTGTGTACAAACACCTTCGCAATGTGTCGATGGTGTTGCCTGTAAGCTTAGCAATGACGTGGTCGTCGTCTCCATCGCCGTCCTTGTCAATGTGTTCAATGATACGCAGAGTTATCTTGGAGAAGTCAAGCTCGCGGACCATGGTGTCACCCACTAAAACAAGTCAGTCATGTACAACGAGCGACGATATTGCAGCTAACCTTCGCCAAAAGTCATATGGCGGCTCTTGATTTTGGCGCTGGAGTAACTTGGATATGCCATGTCATCCATAAGGACATCAACGTATCCGCCCGTCTCAGCGAACTCGCCGCCAATGAGCTTGAACACGAGAAGACCAGATTCTGCAAAATGTTAGCACATTGCTCATACAACGGGAAAAGTAAGAATATGGGTGCAAGGCAGCAGGCTGGGGACACCAACTCAACCATCCGTACTTGCCCACATCCTTATCGTGGCGCAGCTTACCATACTGCTGCAAATCCTCGGCATTGAGGCGCAGCTTCTCGATCTTGGGCTTCTCGGGAATCGGCTCGTCTTGCTGGTGCTCGTTCTTCTCGAGCTGTTTGGCAAGATCGGCCGCACTGTCTCTGTTGGAGCTGCTGGGCGCCAGAGAGGAGATGGTGCCTGCGGTCTCGGACCTAACGAGTTGACTCGTGCCAGACACAGTGCGCGCATGAGTCGAAGCCGGTGCTTTAGACCCTGTCGTACGGATGCTACCCGTGCGGGAGACGCCGTTGGGCGTTGTTTCTTCGGACTCTTCTTCGTCCTCCTCGGGATCCCAGGTGGGAATAGTTGGGTAGAAGGAACATGTGTAGTTCAGTGTGCCCTTGTGAGCTGAAGTACCCGACATGCGTAGTGGACCAGGGGTGATCTGTTTCTGCTCATTGACAAGGTACTCGCCGTTCTCGTCCTGCTGAACGTAGTCGCCAACAGACAGCTCGACATGTCCCAAAGAGCGGTCCTTACCCAGCTTCTCCTCGTCCAGAACCTCCAGAGTCAACCTCTCACGGACGGTATGAATGGGTACGTAGACGACTTCGTCCCAATCGGGGTTCAGGTTGTTCTTGAAGGTAACAGTCCGGCCCTTCTCGACTCCAGATAGCAAGACGCGGACGTATGGATCCGACTTGCCCATAGTCTCTAGATTTCTTAGGTCGCGAGCACTCTGGAAGTGGAATCTCATAACACCAATGGGTGTGAGGTAGCCGCCAGATGACAAGGAGCCCTTGAGCGCAACAGGCTTCCACTCGAGCTTCATCTTCGCGCGACCAGTCTGAGCGCCAGCTAGATTGTACCATTCATGACCCTTGGCTGTCAGCTCGAGCATGTCATCGATGGTAATCTGGTAGGTTCCGAGGATGGGATCCGCAGCTAGATCGCGATCATCCTTGATCACTAAGCCAAGTTTGGCCTTCCTGCGGTCCGTAATGAGCATCTCCTTGGTCGCATCAGGCCAGATAGGGATATTTGTGCGCTTCATAGTCCTTGACTTGTGAACCTCGCGTCCATTAAGCAGCAGTATAGCGTACGGGCTGAGCTGACCGATCATGCTCTTGGTGCCATCGAGATCCTTGGCCTGCTCAACAGTAAATTTAATGATACCCGTGCGAGACTCTGGTGGGGGCTCCTTGGTGCCGTCTTGCAGCGTGGTGCCCTCAAGAACCGGGAAGAAGCGGACGTCAGCTTGCAGGATACCACGCGGTCGGCCACCAGACATGATTTCCAGCTGCAAGTTCTCGTGATCGGAGTCTGTCTCAAGCTGATCGAGGGCGAACGTGGCAGTTCCGAGCTCCTTGTCCTTGCGAATATCGTTATAGTCAAACAGGTTGATAGTCAACGCGTCCTTCAGCGAGGTGACGATGATGTTCACGGTCTCATTCCAGCGAGGGTTGGCGTTCTCATGCACGGTCTTCGTACGTGCAAGCACATTCCTGTTGTTGATCGAGACAGTCGCGTATGGATCCGGTGTACCAGAAAACTTGTCGGGGTTCTTGAGACCCTGTGCTCCGTGAAAGGTGATTTGCAACACACCGATCGCCTGGTCGACTGGGTTTCCTGCAAGCATCTTGGCAATCTCGATGGGGAACACATTCGGATCGTACATCATAGGACCGAGGTTGGCGTGAATCTGTTCCATGATGAAGCTCTCCAGACCGGGAATGAAATTGATATCGAATCCGAATGTCTCGCCACCTAGAGGCTTGCAGACGTAGTCGATAGTGGGCCGCTCCAAGAAGGACATCTCGACCTTCTCGATGTGGGGGAACGGAAGTTGCAGCTTGAACTTCAGGCGCATCAGCCCAGAGAAAGCCATATCCTCCACAATAACGTCCAGACCCTTGCTGACAAGACCCTTTCCAATACGAATCTCGAGCACGATCTTGGGATTGATCTTGTTCTTGACCTGTCGCGCAGTGAGGTCCATGGTGTCGTTGGGTGTGAAGCTGAACTTCCAGTCCATGAGCACGATATCATCCTGAGTCTTGGGATAGGTCTTGACGTGCTCCAAGCGGGGCGGCTTGGTACCCAGGACGAAGGTCTTCATCTTCAAGCTGTCCAAGAAGGCTGGTGTGGAAGTCGACAGGACCTGGTCGACCGAACCAACAATCGTGTCGCAGAGAACGGGCGCGTAGATGGGCCAGAACTTGACGAGGAAGCTGTTGATCCACTCCAGACTCTCCGTGTCGGTCTCGAGCTTGTTCTTCGCCATCTCGCGATTGAGATCGTCACGGGCATTCCTGCGCACGCGGCGAATCGAAGTGCGGTAGTAGGTGCCGCAGATAGCCATGATGATCATGACCCAGCCTAGACCTCCGCCGAGTGTAGCCACGACCCACGAGCTCAGACAGGCGAAGATGATGACGCCTGTGTTGTGGTACCAGTCACCGAAGAACTTGTCGTCGAGCTGGCCCTCGAGGTATGTCTGGTGGTCGAGCAGCGTGCCCTCCTCCTCCTGCTCCTTGTTCTCTGAGCCAGGCATGCCGAAGCGCGGAGCCCAGCCTACGCGTTCCCAGCGAGCATCTTCATCCACCTCAGGCGCATGGCCGTTGGCAGTGGGTGACGAGGGCGGATCTACAGCGCCGGCTTTGGTAGGCGGAGGGAGGTCGTACTTCGGCGCGCCTGCTGCAGCATCGTCGGCGTCTGAGACCAGGGCGGTCGCATTGGGGTTGCGCTCGTGGTGGAACCCAGGCGGGACTCGTGCTCGAGCTTGGGCGCGCTTCTGCTCGGGGCTGGCGTCTGGGTCAAACTGGAAGGCCGCGCTGCCGCCCTGGCGCGCCTGGTCCACGACGCTCTGCTCTGCTGCCTCGGCTGTGACGCCCGAACTGGGGTCCCGGGCTGCTTCGAGGGCGCCCTGCTGCTTCAGCTCCGAGGCATGCTCGGCGGTGCCGTTCAGGTGGCTCATGGCTCTGCTGCAATGCGCTGCTGTCTACCTGCGCGAGTGCAGCGGGCGCATTCAGAACGGGGGGAGAGTGGTGGGCTCGCAGTCGAGAGGCCGGACGGGAGGAATGGCGAGGTGTGCTCCGTGGTGCTCCGTGGTGCTCCGTGATACTCCGTGGTGCCCCGTGGTGGGTGGGTGGGTGGTGGTGGTGGTGGTGGTGCTGGTGGTGGTGCTGGTGCTGGTGCTGGTGCTGGTGCTGGTGCTGGTGCTGGTGCTGGTGCTGGGTGGTGTTGGATGTGAAGCTGCACCAAACCTGCCTGCTCATGTATTAGGCCGGGTAGATGGCCGCAGCTATCATATATCTAGCCGAAGGCGTACAGGTCCTGCAGCTGCTCACCACTCCACAGCTTGTGTACTGATTTGGCCCAATTGAACGGGCCTTGTCAGAGTACAGCAAACACAACAGGGCGTGAAAGAATGGCTGGCAAACAATGGGCGGAGAGAGGGGCCGCCGTGTGGAAGGATGCAGGAACCGGAGCGGGACAGCTCTTTCAGGAGCTTGGATGAGGTGTTTACCAGCCAGCTAGGCGATGACATGCCCCTGGTCGGGCGCTAGTGGAGATCGCGTTCACACTGGCCCATGCTGTGGCAGTGCATCGTCGTTGTTCAGCATGTCAATTTCCAGCCGCACTCTTTCTTCACTGGCCTGCCAACACGCTTTCTCCACTGGCCGGCCAACAAGTTTTCTCCACTGGCCTGCCCACACTGTGTCCTTCGCTGTAGCTCCTGCACACCTGCAGCGCTTCGGCGACTCCGCTTACTCTCTGCACCTGCCGCCTGCAGCGTGGTTGGCTGCGCTCCTTGGGTCTTGGACCCTGTCCGCTTTAGGCACGCTCCAACCTCGCTCTCACGACTCCACCGCGACCGTTACGCGGGCTTGCGGTGGATTTGCTTGATACATCTATCATCGTGAATGGTGGTAGGGTCAATAGTCGTCTGGTAGTCGTCCGGTGTGTGTGGGGAAGCCTATCAATAACAGCGCTTCCGAGGACGAGATCCCAGTGTTCTCGAAGCACGACACCTGGAAGTCGGCAGCATTCAAGCTGACCATTGCGCCGAACCGTGCAGAACACGATTTGCAAATCCTCATCTTCAGCATCCGCGGCCTCCGCACGTCTTGACACGGTTTCAACTTCTTGCGACTTGTACTTGTATCATTATGCTCTGTGCGACTGTGTCGTATCATCATTAATCATTACCCGTTGTTTGTGCCTCGCGTGTCCTGAGCCTCATTAACCCCGCATGTTCAGTAGCATGTCCAGCTGAGATCACTCGATGCTGCAGCACGCGTGCGCCACAGCAAATTCCAGCCACAATGCACCGCCCCTTACCTCTGGCTTTCTGGCATCACAGGTATCCGCCGTCCATAGTGCTCAGAACTCCTTCAGCAACCTGACAATGCGTCCCCCAACCCTAGCATGGTCTTTAGTACGGGTTGGTAGACACAACAGGGTACCTCCTCCCACTGACGCCGCCCTCCACGCCAGTAACATACCTGTGACTGCCTCTGTGCCTATCTCTGTCTCGATCTCTGTCGCGACTGTGCTCCCTACTCCTGTCGTAGCCTCTTTTGTCCCGACTTCGATCTCGTTCACGGTCGTCCCACTCGTCTTTCACTCTATCGTGGCTGCGCGTTCTAGCTGCGTCGCGGTCACGATCGCGCTCATGTCGCTCGCGTGGATAAACTGCGTCGCCTGTTGAAGAGTGACGACGATGCGATTGGCTGCTTCCGTGGTTGCTGCTGCTGCCACCCTCATACGATGCATCTCGGTCGCGGTGGGCGTAGCGATCGTGATCGCGCGCATACGGCGGGTCAGCGTGCTGTGGGCTTACTGACGTTGATTGACTTGCATATCTGATGTTTTGCGCTGGCACCGGTCTGTAACTCGCTCGCGCAGACATAGTAGGTCGGTCGTAGTAGTTTCGCGCCTGCATCTGCGCAACGTGCGTGGCGAAGAGGGGCGACTTTGTGGGACCGTACACAGGGGCAGGAGAAGGTGCGCTTGAGGTCCTTACATCTGGTCTCTCGCTCGGGAGATGTTGAGGCGAAGGCCGGTATTGTTCATGGTAGGTTGGAAAGTACTCTCTCGGCGAGACAGGAGGCTCGTGTGATCTTCGGTGGCGGAGAACAGGCGTGCGTCGTCTCGAGGGCGGCCTCTCGAAATCAGAGTCAGAATCCGTGGTGGACAGCGAGCTCTCACGTCGGGTTGGGTGGGGGCGCTTGTGAGTAGGATAACGCTGAGTTGACGGCGGATTGGACGCAATTGGGGTTGCGTCCTCATCTGAGAAGCTGTCGTCGTCATATCGCCCTGGTGGAAGACTGCGCCGCCTACTGAACGGATTGAGCATGTGCCTAACTCTCGATATCGGTCCGTGATCATTGCTCGCACGAGCTTCTTCCTTCGAGACGTGTCGCATAAACGCCGGCCTTGGTCTGGCTTTGCGGTACATGGGGTCCTCGAAGTACTTGAACGCGCCTGTTCTCTCGTTCGCAGACGACCCATCTCCTGATAAGTCGGCTGAGGTCCGCGGCTCATCCTCGACACGCGTTCTATCCGCTTCTGCTTCTGCTTCCCTTTTAAGTCTCGCAGCGACGCCCTCGTACCATTCCTCCATTGCTTCGTCCGGTTTGTCTGGAAAGCACTTGCTCGGCAGCATCTTGAGGAAAACCTCATTCGTCTCTGCGTCGATCACGTCGAACTGCTCGACCGACTTCTGTATGAAGGGCACATGCTCCTGCGGTCCAAGCAACAGCTGTATTGTCTGCCATGTCACGAAGCCCTGCTTCTTGAGTGCAGGTATGGCAGGCGAAGAGTATCCGTCGTCACTCGCCGATGGCTGTAGGCTGTGGAACGCGCCTAGGGAGCGATAAATGAAGGCGATCGAGGAGGGCGGCGTCTCGGTGAAGAGAACATCGTAGTTGCCACCAACTGCGCGGTACCATGCTGCGATCTGGGATGGCGTGAGGTCGGGAGAGTCACTGGGTTCGAACTTCTTGCTCTGCGCGGCGTGTATTAGCTCACCAAATATCCTGCTCACAACTAAACCCTCGACTCACAATGACCTCTGCAATGCCCTTCAGTAAGCGGTCCAGCTTTGGTGTGCCGCATTTATCTGGCTTTAGCAGGTACCCCCAGTAGTCGTAGGCTTCGCGCTGTGCTGCTTCATCATTCGCGGCGTTCTCAGCTGGCTGCTGCTCTCTGCTCTCGTTGGTCTCCGCGGCCATGTCGCCCTTTCGTAAGTGTTGGCAGGCTCCAGAGCAACATATACATGCGCCCGGCTGATTTGTTGGGTATCAATACCTGCACAAGATGCGGTCAATCCCTCCGACTTGCCCCGCCGGGTTACCCAAGTCGTGAATCGTGAAGACAAGTCGCTTCGCGCAAGAACATCAATCGGTTTGCTGCCAAATTCGAGGCGATACGCCTGTTTTAGCTGAAGTTCCAGCCATGTGCAGGCAGCTGACTACGCCTCTGCTGCGAGGCTCCAGGATGCGCTGGTCGTGCAACCGAAAGGCTGTGGCAGCTTGAGCTCGGACTACCTGACATCATTCGGGCTGAGCATCTCACTAAGCTGGGCGTGAGGCAGCAGTCAGGCAAACAACAAACACGCTTGACTCATGCGCAAATTGAGAGATGCAACTTTTAATTTATTACAATCCATAAAGCAGCCGAGGCGTGCATCGTTACGTCCTCGCCGCCTGGAAGAGGCTTGCTAAGCTACAAACATGCGTACCATCCATCATGGTCAGTCGATACCAGAAAGACCTGTTATCGTAAATCTACTATAAACTGCAACAACGCCGTGAAATCCCATCTAGTGCTCGAGCAACCTCAGCGAACCCTGAACGACAACGTTCTCGAGAATGGAACCCGGGGGAATGTCGATTGTGGAGCCTTCTGTGGCAACGATGATGACGGTGCCCTTCAGGGTAACACCACGACCAAGGTTGACGGGACCGGTGATGGTCAGGTGGTCAAGCTCAACGATCTTGGGGATCGAAGGGATGCGGTTCTGGAAGCTGGAAACCTTCTTGAAGTCGCTGCCGAGCTTGATGAGGGGAGCGGGGCCGAAGCGGTTGGGGTCAATGACAAGCTGGCCGTGCTGCAGAGTATAAAGATCCGACTTGACGAGCATAAGGTCGGAGCAAGTCTTGACGGGCAAGAAACGCTTCCTGGGAACGTTGACACCGTGAGCGCCCTTGAAGTGCTTGATGGCAGCACCGACAGCGGTCTCGAGCTGGAGAACGGAGATATCGGCCTCACCCTTCTTATCGGCAGAAATGGACTTGCCGTTAGGGATGATCTCCATCGCAAGCTCGTTCTGCTCAACAACGCGCTTGATGGCCTTAACGTTCATCCAGATGTTGTTGGTGTTAAAGTACTTGAACTTCTTGATCGACTTGAACTCGTTGACGTGCTCCTTGGGGACCTGCGCGATTTCGAGGAGACGGACGGAGCCCTCGTAGTCAATGATGGTACCACCCTTGACGTCGGCCTTGGTCTTGTCGGTCAACTCCATAATGTACTCAGCCTTGGAGTCAACCATGTGCTGCAGAATGCGGAGATCGACGACAGCACCCAAGTTGTCGGCGTTGGAAAGGAAGATAGTCTCGATGCCACGCTCGATGAGCTTGTCAAGCATGCCAGTGTTGTACAGAGACTCAAAAACGTCACCGTGACCGGGAGGGTACCAGTTGGCAATGTCAGACTCGCGGGACTTGGGGGCAGGCAGAAGCGAGTCCTTCAAGATACGGGGGTACTTGGACTGGTTGAAGGTGAGGATGTCAATGTTGTGGCCCTCGTACTTCTTGATGATGCTAGCGGTGTCGTTGTCTGTGTTGAACGAGTTCATGAGAACGAAGGGGACGTTGACGTCGTATGTGCGGTTGAGGTACTCGATCTGGCGCACCGACAAGTCAAGGAAAGACATGCCATCGCGGACCTCGATGACCGACTTGGGGCCAACGCAACCCATGGAGGTACCAAGACCACCGTTGAGCTTGACAACAGCCAGCTTGTTCAGGTACTCCACCGCCTCGGAGTTAGCGAGGTCATTGTAGTTGACGACCTGCTCCTTCTTCGGGGGAGCAATGCGGTTCCAGTCAATGGCATTGCCCTTGGCCTTATCGTTCAGGTATCGACGGAACAGAGCGAAGAAGTTGTCCATCTCAGTCTCGAAGTACTGCGTGAGTCAGCATGCGTTCCAGTGACGTAGAGCCCCTCCTGCCAACCACGCCAAATGCTCGTGGCATACGGCGAGTGACCCATTCCACAAATTGCCAAATCTCGGTGATTGGCGCAGAAGGCCTGTGGGGTGGGGAAGTATGGAGAGGTGCTCACCTTCTTTTCCGCGGGGTCGGTGACGCCATCGGCGAGCTTGTTGAGAGCGTTGCGCATCTGCGAGGCAGCGACGTTGGTGGATGTGTTCTCGAAAGCCTGCAAGGAAGTTTATGTTAGCAATAGTCAATAGAGAGTAAAACTGCAGAGCGTGCCCAATTTGTGCAGCCACGCTCGTGAGGGCAATGGGCTGGTACAGCTACCATGGTCGGCACGGAGAGGTGGGTTGAGCTGGTGACAGATTGCCGGCAACTGGAAAGAACAAGTGGGTTTCTGGAGAGAAACGCTCGTTCGGCGAACGACTGCTGAAGTACGGCTCTAAGACTCAGCTCCTCCTGCCTGCTCTGCGCTGGGAGCTCCTGCTTTACAGCTCAGACAGACCCAATCGCTCAGAAAGCGCCATTGGTACTGCAGTGCGTCTGGGGCAGGAGTTCCTCAACACACCGATCGCCAAACAGATGGAAAATAAGAGATAGGGGCCGGATAGCTGCAGGAGCAGAGAGTGACTTACAACGTGGGACTGCGTCTTGCCGTGATGGCGAGGCGCGAAGCCACCCTCACCGCCCTCAGCGGCGGAGGGCTTCAGGTGCGAAGGAAGAGCGCGACCAGCCATTGTGTATGTGTGGGTAGTGTGTGAAGGAGAAAGACACTCTGTGTAAGGAGAGAGTGAATTGTTGACAGGTGTAAACGGGGCGAGGCGGTCAGGTTGCTTAAAGCAATGGCTATCGAAGCTCGGGCCTTATGCAATGTACGCAGTGGGGCAGACAGTCGAGGCACGTTTTCGACCTAGCAACGGCGATGGAGTTGAAGGAGAAGCCGCAAGCGGGTTCTGTAAAAGTGTAGAGAGTTGGCGTGCCAGATCTCGAGCAGCAGCAGGCTTTATACGGCGCTGGCTTGTCTAGCCCAGCGCCTCTCAAGCTATCAATACTGTCTACGGAAACACACCATCCAATAAGTTGAGGTTCAGAGCTGCACCTGCGTCAATGTTGACCCATCCTCCCCTGTCTTCCACATCGCAGCGCCGTATTTGTCTTGTTCTATGATAATGTGGTACACAACCTTCACGAGGACTCAGTAGACGCCCGGCACCATAGCGCCTGTAGCAATTGATGCCGTTGCTGTGTCTGTAAAGCCGTCGTTGCACTATTGTTGAGAGTCGTTACTTGGGGAGCTATGGCCTCATCCCAAAATTTCTAAACCCCTCGTCCGCCACCCAAGGTTAAGCTGGCGGCAACAGCTGCATAACGCATCTAGCGTGCCCAACGACACTCCGACAGTTCCCCCAACAAGTGCCCCAGATTGGTCCTTTTCCATGGAGTGTGGCAACAATGGATGCGACATTCCCTTCATGGGGAAAAGAGAATTTTGTTCGGTGCATCCTAAGGGAGACCCCGGTGATACTGCATGTGTGTTCGGAAAAAAGCGGTGGGCGTCGTGGCGTTGCTGGTTCACGTCCGCGGGATGGATATTGAGCTTGAGCCATGTGGGGGATCTACTGACACAGCTGGGTATCCTCGACAACTTTCGTGTCCGAGTCAAGTTGCTTTGAGGCTGTAAGCCACTTTTGGTGGTTCTTCGGCTCGATGTAGGCACCCGCTGTAAGAACATTGATTTCTATCTTTGCTTTTCGGCCCCAGAACTTTCGGTAAGAGCAGCCTTTAACTTTGTAGTCTTGCTAAATTTGCGTGTGCAGCCAGCCACCTTCCACGGAAGTAGTGTTTCGATATCATTTAGCTCCTTACACTGTAAAGTGCTCACCTACGCACGACTAGCGGCACGAGCCACAGCCTTTCTCAGGGGCACACTTCCGGTTGCCAAGTAAGTTTGTGAAAGAGATACGTAGCTGCACCTCTTGTTTACCAGTTGAACTGTCGTATGTTGACCACGTTGTTATACTGATCTGACTGGCCGGGTTATCTCGACAGCGGGGGCGTCCGCAAATGGCACCGCCATTGGCTTCTCCATCCTCAGACGAATATATGCGCCCTGGTCCTCTTCCCTGGTGAAGAACTTGACACTGAGTTCCTGCACAACAAAAGCCAAGAGGCTCTCGAGTGTCTCGTACGCTGTCGCAGAGACGATCTCGTGGAGGTCAGTGGGGCAAAGACTGGCAAGTTGAGCCGAACGTACCTGAACAAGTGCGGTCTCCAGCGCTGTGTAGTCATCTACACGGGACGCAGGGACACAATCGACCCACAAGTTGACGACAACTGGCTGCTTCTGCAAGCGCTCGTTGGAATTCACGCCAATCAAGCACGGTACGCGGACGTTCTTTAGGTACAGTACGTTTGAGTAAACTCCAGAGTGCGTAATGATGGATGCCTGGTGGCCAACTCCATCACCAAACATGCTTCCTTTCAAGTAACACACATCCGTCTCTATCGCAAAAATGGGTGCTGAGCCAGCAGCCGTGCGCACAATGCCGGCTAGTGATATTGAAAGGTCTGGCGTGTTCATCCAGTCCAGAATGTCGTCTTGAATGCGCGTTTGGATGGCTTTGCTGAGAGTACCATAATGGACGGTGCTCTCATCGACGGTGTCTGTAGATGATGCAGAGCTGAAATGGTTGCCGAGCGTGACAGTGACGCTGACCAGTGCTCGTTGCTTCTTCTTGCGGCCCCAGACATCTGTGCCGGCATTGACAGTGACTGCAAGATTTTGCACAATGATCTTGTCGGTGCAGTCGCTCTGAGCAACTTGGGAGGTCCATGCGGCCTGACGGGCGAGAGTCTTGTCAACAAGCATGTTGCTGCCGTTTGATATGTCGTGTTTGAGATGACCTTCTTTCGTTCAACAACTGTACCGTTGTTCTGGATGCTTATAATAGCTGTATTCCTCAGGTCAGACCACGGCTTCTTTTGACTTTTACTGGGAAGAGCAGGAAGGATCAACGAAAACTGGCAAAGCTGGTAGGTGGCAGGACTGATTAGATGTACCGCCGATCCCAAGGAATAGAGAATTGCAACACCGAATAGAAAAGGTCAAGGAAACAAAAGACACTCACTTGCTGTCTTGAATTGGTGTATCACTGTCGGTACACGGATCTGGTAATGGTGGGATGACGCCCTTCAGCCCTACGGCGCACAGACTCCTCTCCCGCCAGAGATCCGCATCGAACATTCTAGCTGCAAGGCCTAACGTATTTATGCACAAGAGCTCTGCCTGCGCTACGCCTGCAATTCGCTGCAAGCCGTTTCGACACCTACACCACATACTACCTTCACATCACATAATATGGCTGACGCGCTTAAGGCAGAGGGCAACAAGCTCTTTGCGGAGAAGAAGTTCGAGGAGTCCATGTAAGTGCCCCACCATACATATCGCTGCAGCAACACATACTAACACAACACAGTGAGAAGTTCTCCCAAGCTATTGAGCTCGATCCCTCAAACCACGTGCTGTACTCGAACCGATCTGGTGCATATGCCTCGCTGAAGAACTGGGAAAAGGCCCTGGAGGACGCGAACAAGACCACAGAGATCAAGCCGGACTGGGCGAAAGGCTGGGGACGCAAGGGTACAGCGCTGCACGGTACAGGCGATCTGTTAGGCGCTTCAGATGCTTTCGACGAGGCTCTCAAGCTCGACGCCAACAATGCTCAAGCCAAGTCTGGCCTCGCGGCGGTCCGCCGTGCCATTGAGCAGGAGGCCCAGGCAGATGGTCTCGGTGGTGACCCATCAGCTGGGCTCGGTGGCATGTTCAACGACCCCAACATGATCCAGAAGTTGGCCAGCAACCCCAAGACGGCCTCTCTCCTCGCAGACCCTGCCTTCATGGAGAAGCTGCAGCAGCTGAAGAGCAATCCCAACAGGGTGGGCGAGTTTATGCAAGATCCCCGTTTCCTGCAGGTTATGAGCGTGCTGCTGGGCATTGACATGCAGTTTGGTGGACCTGGAGAGCAGGGTGGTGCTGGCGCTGGTGCTACCGAGGCGCAAGAAGACGTTGAGATGCCCGATGCACGACCTGCATCCACACAACCCAGGAAGGAATCTGAGCCCGAGCCCGAGCCCGAGCCCGAGGTTGAGGAGACAGAGGAGGAGAAGGCAGCTAAGGAGGCCAAGATCAAGGCCGATGAGCTGAAGAAGAAGGGTACAGAGTTCTACAAGAAGCGCCAGTTTGATGAGGCGATCGAAAACTACACAAAGGCATGGGAAACACACAGGGACATTGCCTACATGACAAACCTGGGCGCTGCCAAGTTTGAGAAGGGCGACTACCAGGGCTGCATTGAAGCATGCCAGCAGGCCATCGAGTACGGTCGTGAGATCTACGCAGACTTCAAAATCATTGCCAAGTAAGTCGTCAATCAACTTTGTGCAGAAGCAGTTGCTAACATCCCGCAGGGCGTATGCTCGCATTGGTACCGCTTACGAGAAGCAGGGCGACCTTGCCAACGCCGTCAAATTCTACCAGAAGGCTCAGACAGAGCACCGCACACCTGAGGTCCTCGCCAAGCTCCGTGCAGCAGAGAAGGCCAAGGTCAAGCAGGAGAAGGAGTCGTACATCAACCCCGAGGAGGCAGAGAACGCTCGTGAACTCGGAAACGCCAAGTTCAAGGAGGCAGACTGGCCAGCCGCCGTCGAAGCTTACACTGAGATGATCAAGCGCGCCCCAGAGGACCCCCGTGGCTACTCCAACCGAGCTGCTTGTTACATCAAGCTCCTTGCTTTCCCATCGGCTATTGAGGACTGCGACCAAGCCATCAAGCTTGATCCTAAGTTCATCCGTGCATACCTGCGCAAGGCCCAGGCCTACTTCGTAATGAAGGAGTACAACAAGTGCATCAACATATGCGCCGAGGCTATGGAGCACGACGATGGTAAAAACGCTCGTGAGATCCAGCAGCAAGAGACCAAGGCTCTGCAAGCTCAGTATTCAGCACGTGAGGGCGAGACCGAGCAGCAGACAATGGAGCGCATCCAGCGAGATCCAGAGGTATGTCCTTCCACATCAAACGTACGGAGTAATTCCCTAACATGATCACCAGATTGTCAGTATTCTCCAGGACCCTATTATGCAGAGCATCCTGCAGCAGGCCAAGGACGACCCCGCGGCGCTGCAAGAACATCTCAAGAACCCCGGCATCCGCTCGAAGATCCAGAAGCTTGTTCATGCCGGTGTCATCCGTATGGGACGATGAACAGGGAAAACAAGCGACGTATATTGACGACCCGACTACGACTTCGAATGACGACAGCTGGAGGTTTCAGATATCCGTGTCTATGGCGCATCAGCATAGCGTGTATAAAGTACGATGAATGCAAAGAATCATTGCCCTCAAATCGACACTTTCTTTGCAATTCATAGCACGCCACAATGTACCTATCGTTGGTCAACTGTGATTGTCTCGCCCTGCTTCTGCGTCACAGTAGCCGAGGCGACTATACCATCATGTGTCGCTCCCCACTGCTGTTGGCTGCTGTGTGCATCGGCCCAGTGCATCTCTGGGGTATTCAGACCCAGGTGATGATTGCGCTCTCGAGTTCCCATGCTGCCGATTGTCCCGAGTCGGACGTTGCTGCCTCTAACTTGTCCTGGTCCCACTCCTGGTGTGCTTTCAATAGCTCTGCGAGTCAGTCGCATGTGACTCTCGTTCGGGATGCATTCACGAGTACTGCGAAGGCAGGGTAACAGCGACTAACAACCGCTAGCCAAATGTCGGCATCAATATCTGTACGAGGCCGAGAACTCGACGTACCGATAAAGCACTCGACCGTGCCCCAACAATGCCAATGTGGAACAGGTATGCCTTGTTGTATCCATGGCCTAGTTCGAGCTAGTAGAAGACACTGACAGTCTCTCTCCTGGTCCCCAATGCTGTAGCTGTCTAAGGCCTTCTGCCACTCCATGGCTGCCATGCTCTTGCTCTTGATGCCAGTCGTGGCCAGGCTGGTGCTGTGTGTGGATGGCCTCTTCTTGGCTGCCTGCTTGGCCAGCCTGTCAGCTGTCTCATTGCCTGCCACATCTTGGTGGCTAGGTACCCTGTGGATGGACACAGTGGCTCCCTTGCTGATGATCTGCTGTGCTGCCTGGATGCACCTGAGTTGGACGGGGGATTACCTTGCACCACAGCCTAGCATTTCACACCAGACTTGGCACCACCTCGGACTGACAATTCACAATGCAAATACAAACCTGAAAGTTTCCCAGAACAGCTCAGTGATACCTTACATTACTTCGCTTGCTCGGGCAGCCCGTGTGTAAAGTTGTGTGCCATCCACCTATTTACCTACGAGCGCAACTTGGCATAGTGCATCACCAATGGAGTGCCTGAAGCTTACAAATGTCAGCAAAGCAAGTGCGCCCTGGCGCTTTTAGTCCGCATTTTCGCTCCCGCGCTTTCATACCGACTGAACGACGACAAACAATGCCGAAACTCTTGCCCTAACATACAAAAGGAAGCCTTCGTGACGACCTCGGTAGGTTCAGCGCAAGATGTCGACACTGCAAAGTATCACTCAACTGGATGATCTCTCTAACCATACGCGCCCCAATGCTCGCTTCGATGTGAGCGGAGCGTCCACGACCATCCAGCATCTCGAGCCCACCACTGGCCTTGAGCCCTCCGAGCATCCACCGCCCGACGCTGCAGAAGCAATACCCGATGGTGGCTACGGCTGGACTGTTGTCGCCGCCTGTTCATTCATCATCTTCTGGATCAACGGCTACACAACCGCCTGGGGCGTCTTGCAGACTGCGATTGTGAAATCACCTACTTTGCACTCCAATGTGCGGACCATCACCTTTGTCGGCGGCTTGTACATGGCGTGTATGGTAGCCTTCGGAATTGCCTCGATAAGAGTCATAAGGTTTTTCGGTGTCCGCTATACGGCTCTTGCAGCGACGACAGTATTCGGACTGGGTTTAATAGCTACAAGCTTTACACTTGAGCACCTCGGTGGTCTGTTCTCTATCGCAGGACTCCTCGTTGGAGTTGGAACATCTCTCCTGTATACAATGACCAACAGTTTACCGTTGCAGTGGTTCAGCTCCAAGCTGGGAATTGCGAACGGCCTTGTCAAAGGCGGCGGTGGAGTAGGCGCAACGGTGCTTCCGCTCGCTGCACAGGTGCTCATCGACAGGTTTGGGCTACAGTGGACATTTCGCATCTTTGGAATTCTCATCATCATCACCGGCATCCCATGCGCATTGGCTCTCAAGGAACGTTCGACAACGGGAACCCTTTCAAGGTTCGATTGGTCTCTCTTGAAGGACGTTCCCTTCCTGACGTTGACTATGGCCGGCGCCGTAGGAGTCTTCGCCCTTTTTGTGCCGCCATTCTTCCTGCCACTCTTTTCGAGTTCCATCGGTCTGTCAGCATCAACTGGCGCAGGCTTGGTGGGCGGGTTTGGTGCTGCAACGGCTGTAGGCCGCATTTTGGGTGGGTGGACATGCGATCGGATTGGTGCCTTCAATACGACTATGATTACCTGCTTGGTCAACTCGATCAGCATGCTAGCGATATGGCCAGCGAGCACGTCACTGCCGCCCCTGTTTATCTTTGCTATCGTCAACGGATGTGCGAATGGTAGCTTCTTTGTCGGATTGCCTACTGCTGTGGCTACGATTGCACCACATTCCGCGGCAGCGTCAATCAGCTTAATGGTTTTTTTTTGGACTCCAGGCAATCTCTTGGGAGCGCCTCTCGCGGGTCTTCTAATAGAAGCGACCGGTGCGGCCGATGCTATGTCTATTGAGCCATACAGGGCAGCCATATTCTATGCCGCCGGAACAGGTATCCTAGCTACGCTTCTCATTGTAGCGGCACGACTGCGACTGGACACCAAGATACTTAAGAAGCTGTAGCCACCTTGAAGATATCAAGTACGTCTGGTGAAGTAGCAGTAAATGCACAGCTCGCGTACATCCCCCGGAAAGAATTCAGGTCACCAAGCCGGGATCACATCTAGGAAACTATACACTCTTGGTTCACTCATCATGAGACTATCGTGTCCCAAGATCATTCCGGGTTCTCCTTCACATTTGTGTGGACTGGTTGCTTGGACATCGCTCAGTGAACAACTGGAACATTTGCAGACGAGGGGGATATAAAATATGGAAAAAGTGCACTTTCTTGCACTTTCCTTCATCCCCACTAGAAGTGACACTTTGCCGGTTTCCTCTGAACATTTTACAACAGCAACACCAACTTCAGGACGACACAGTTGTTGTTGATTGATTGATTGATTGATTGATTGGTTTAACGTCCTATCTGAGTCTAAGACTATGGAAGACAAGAGGAGCAGTAGCTCCTCTGGTAATGCAAAGATTTAGTTACATGAGAGTGAGGTCAATGGAGGTACAAGGGATGGTGAGGGCTCAGGCCCAGAGCAAAGATGCTGGAAACAGAAGAAGTAGAAAACAAACAAACAAAGGAAAGAGCAGATGTTATGGCAACACTATGCCTAGTCTTCTGGTGACTGCCCAAGATGCCACCTCCTT